AACTCTAATTATAGAATATAGACTAAAGCTTAAGGGCTCAAATCTCTCTTTACAGGCTCTGAATTCAATTAGGAAACTAACCCAAAACAGCTTCTAATTGCTTCAGAGTTAAGACAACACAATACGTTACTGGTTGAAGTGAACAATGTTAACAAGATTCCTTTGGGAGTCCCAACTTTTCTTTGCAAGAGAATTGTACAAGTTGAGTATCATAATCGAGGGTTAGGATTGATCTTTCTTTAGGGCATGAAGAGGGATGGTGCTTAAAACAATGTGTTGTAATAGAGGAAGGCTTACAAACAAAGGGTAGGAGAGTGGTGAACAGGGGGGAATAGGAAGGTGAAGGATTGGTTAATTTAAGAAGATGATGAGTTGGGAAAATAGAAGGGCAAGATGATAATTTTAGGCAAGGGTAGGTGGCAAGTTAAGCAAGTAGAGGACCACATGGGGAAGGAAGGTAATAATTATAAAAAAAGAACAACAAGAAAGGATAGGAGATCTAACCAGTCATTGATTGTTTAAAAGATGGGCATGTGACAGGACAGGTAGCTGAATTGAACACAAGGCTTTTAATTGGAGCCATCACATAAGAACGACTTTTTTATGGTAACTGAAAAAAAGGATAATAGGTTAAGCCTTATTAATGTCAACCTGCTTAGAGTTTGCGATTGTGCTAGTTAAATAAGATCTGTTGTATACTTCTGTCGGTTCACAACAAAGCAGCCTTGTGGAGAAGATTGAACTTTSAAACCAAGAAAATGTTGAGTTTGTTAGGGCTGTACAGTTTTTGAGTCTTTCTTGTTGTTTGTTGGGCCATTATTATTAGTTCTTTTATTTTCTATTAGTGGGCCTAATTAGTTTATTATTAGTCTAAGGTGTTATTCTTTTGGTCTGAAGTCTGATGTCTGACAAGTGAAAAAGCTCTGAAAAAAGTACTTTGAAAATCAGTATTTTTTTTTGCTTTATCTGATATCTGAATGCAAAAATGTTAAGCTGAAACTTGAATGCTGAATGCTGAATATGGCTACTTTACAATTTGGCCCCCATAATTGATTATGGAATGGATATTTACGTTAATTATAATTAACATTATAAAATTGATAGTAATCGTTATATTTAGAATAAAAATAATATTCAGACCCACAATACAACTTTATAATTAACATTATTAAATTGATGGGAAAGGTTAATTAACCTTTACTTCCTCTCTTTCTCTCTTCATATTCAGACCCACAATACAACTTATATCAAAATTGATTTTCAAATTGGACATTTGCTGAAAGACAAGTACAATCATTTTCAAGTTCCTCACCCACTGCAGGCACCTCCTTCACATAATAGAATTGTATCATTAGTAAATTGTAGGTGAGTGGTTGACACCTCATCTCTTCCTACTCTCCACCCCCTCATCAAGTTTCTAGCACCAGCCTTAGAAATTAGCCTCCCAAGCATATTATTAAAGTGAAATGAAAAGGGGAGAGGGGGTCCCCTTGCCTAAGTCCCCCAAGGGTCAGAAAATGGTCTACCGTAGATCCATTCACCAAAATTGAGTAGTGGCACATCCTAATACAACCTAGGATCCATTTACACCATATGTCACCAAAATCAAAATTTCTCGTTACTTCTAGCAAAAAGCCCCAAAACCCTTCATTCCAATCCTTTTCATCTCCTCCACACTTTCATTGGCAWTTAAAATCCGATCAATGATTTTCATGTCCTTTATAAATGCCCCCTGGAAAGGTGAAATTATGGGAGGACAACCCTAATCCTTTGAGAAAGCACCTTAGCAATGAATTTATATAAACTATTGATCAAATTAATTGGTTTAAAATCTTTTGAGTGCATAACATAAATTTTTTTGGGATTAAAGCAGTAATGGTTGAGTTTAGCCTCGGGTTTATCACTCCCCTCTCAAAGAATTCATTAAAAGCCTTTTGCAAATCATCTTTCAATACATCCCAACAATCTTGATAATATGCCATAGTGAAACCATTGGGACTAGGAGCTTTGGATCCATCCATTGAAATTGCTTCCTTTATCTCTTCCATCTCAAAACTTCTTTTTAGCCAAACCTTAGAAACCTCAGACAATTTGACCATTCTAACCCATTAAGCCACACTCTTTCATTAAGAGGTCTCATCTTATTAAGTCAAAGATACACCATCCACCACCAATTTTGAGAAACTTTTCCCTTCTCCCATTTGTGAAAGTATGAAAAAATTTGGTGTCTCCTTAAGCCAATTAATCCTAGATTTTTGTCTCCATCTAATATCTTCTTTTAGCAAAAGGTCCTTTAGTTGCTTTTCTGAAAGACCATTCTCTCTTCCTTATCCCTATCTTCAAAGGTACCTGCGCCTTCTTTTGAATCCAATTCCTCAATTTTGCCAATAACTTCTTGCTTCCTCTCTTCTAATCTTCCAAAATGTTGAATGTTCCACACTTCCACTCTTTGATTTTGACTTTAAGTTCCGACAATTTCCAATGAAACTTTATGCCTTCCCATTTCACCCTTGAATTACTTCCCTCCCACCATTCCTTGACTTTCTCTGCAAATCCATTAGAGCATAACCACATGTTCTCAAATGTGAAAGGGGCTGGGCCCCTTCCATCCACTATTCATTAAAGATTGAAATTGGTCAATGATTCGAAGTCACTCTTGGAAAAGCTCTAGACGTTAGGCTTCCCCAATATTCCTCCCAATCCACTATAAATAAGAATGTATCCAACTTGGAGCAAATTGGGTTAGCCTATAGGTTAGACCAAGTAAAGTTGTTGTAGGAAAGTGGTAGTTCATTGAGCTCAAAATCATCAATGAATTGATTAAACTCATAGTTGTCAAGGCGTCGCCTAGGCGACTAGGCGCCCTTGGCTGGGCACCTCACCCAAACTCCTTGTCATGCGCCTTTTATAATATCATTTATATTGTTGTATCTTATTAATGTATGTGTTAAATACATTTTATTATATGCTACATATATCAAAATACTTTGTTTTAATGTTTTAGTATTGAAATTTAAAAGATCAAAGGGTTTTGAGGAGAGAAAAAGAAAGAAAGAATAGAATTATAAAAAGGTTTTGTTTTTTTCAGTTCTCTCTCTCTCTTTCTCTCTAATTAAATAAAACAGAAACTCCATCCTTGTTTTTTCTATTTTCCTTTCCATCTTGAATATTTATCATATAAAGTTGACCTTCTTTAGCTGCTAATTGATATGAAATTCTCTATTAAATCCTTATTATAGCAGTATTATTTTTGAAAATAATTAAATTAATATATGTAAAAGTTTTTTATCTTTTAGATGTGATGATTTGCCACATTTTTGGAGGAAATTTAATGTTCTTAATACAGAGAATTGCTATTTTTTCAATTAATATACATGCTGAATGGAATATAAAACTAGGGAACTAGCCAAAAGTTAGCTTTTTATATTATAATTTTTTTATCGCCTAGGTGACTAGGCGACTAGGCACCCCAGTGTCACCCACCATCCCCTAGGTGCCTTGAAAACTATGATTGAACTTCCTCAAACTCGTACTAATTCTCTTCCTAGAGCTGTTAGTCTTTTTCGTAAACCTTATGACATTGAAATCACCTCCCATGCACAATGGCCTATCTCACAAACCCTCTAATATCCTCCAATTCTTCTCATAGCCCATTTGTTTCCCTATATCTATTGGGGCCATAAACATTTGTCATCACCCATTCAAATCCATCAACCACTTGTCAAAACTTAATTGATACTGTGAATTTACCCACAAGTTCTTCAACTCCAATTAAAGACTCATTATTCTGGAGTGTAATTATTCCCTCCAAAGATCCCCAAGATGGGGACATTGCCCAATTAAGGCCCCTAGCTCTCCAAATGCTTCTTGCCCACTGACTATCAAAATCAGCCAATTTGGATTCTTGGATCAAGACTATATCCAACCTTTGCTTTAATAATTGCTATCTTTCATGCCCTCCCTAGCCCTTGGACATCCCAGCTCACAATTTTCATTTCCACTTTATTCTTTTTTACCACCTTCTTACTGCTCTCCCTATTTACACCCTCTAATCCTCCCCTTTCTCTTGTTAAATTCCTTGCCCCCCTCCACATCTCTCCTTAGCCTTTCCATCCCACTCAATGTCCTTTTCCTAATCTTGCCTTCTTTTACCCTCTTGTTTCTACCCCAGAATTTACTACTGGGGTATCAAAATTGATCCCTACCTGCTTCACCCCAAAATTGTTCTCCTCCTCTACTCTTTCCTCTTCAATTCCTCAAAAAGGACAAAAAAAAAAAAAAAAACTCTCAATCAACTCCCAAGTTCTTTTTTCCCTTAATGATATTTTGAAAACTATCTAATAGGACTATTAAAACTAATTTGACCCTTAATGCTAACTAACCTTATTCTAAACCACTAATTAGTTAGAAAATACATTTATAAAATGGGTTCGACTATGATACTGGAAAGACTTGTAGCCGATCAGCCAGTATCATAAAAGTGGTAACCAATCAAGTGATTTTTTATAAAATTCACTGGGGGGGGGAGAAGTTGATTGGTCAAAGCCCTTTCGTTATCATTTTTTTTTCCAGCAGCATAGATTTTTCCTTGAAAAACACTCAAGAATAGTAAAATTGAAATTAGCAAAAAATTACAAAATTGCTAGTTAATAATGAATTTGTAGAAAACCGATTTCTTTCTTCATGGATTCTTCCTCAGTTTCCATACCTGCATCACTAGGCCATTTTTGGCAAGCTTACTAAACATCCCAATTCCCAACTAACATACCTTCTCTATATATATTTGTATAAAAGTATGGTTCCATGGGTCTAGAAAGTGAGGCTACTAGATAATATCTTGTGTTGGTCAGCATCCATACTCTTGACCAATACAGACTCGACACCATTGCTGGGAAATTTATGCTATAATGCCCCTATAAATAATGTTTTATTTTTATTCTATTCTTTATTTTTTCCTTGAGCTTTCATGAAGCGTAGGATTCTTTTATGATCATATGCAGAATGTTTTATGGTCCTGGAGGGCCATATGCCATGTTTGCTGGGAGGGATGCAAGTCGTGCCTTAGCTCTCATGTCCTTTGACCCGAAAGACCTTACAGGCAACATTGAAGGTTTGGATCCTTCTGAGCTTGAAGTCTTACAGGACTGGGAATACAAATTCATGGAAAAATATAAGAAGGTTGGAAATCTTATCACAAAAAAGGCTAGTGCTGAGGATTCTACAAATGGAGATGAAAAGGATGCAAGCAAAGAGGACCAGGCAAGAGAGATACAGGATCTCAGCCAAGATTTGAACTCATCTGCAGAAACACAAGCGGGGAAGATGTGAATGCGTTAGTAGGTCATGAGTCAAAAGAGTTCTGTTTTCTGATAATCATTTGCTTGGTGGTGTTCTTTGCTAGGGAATGTTGATTGTTAGAAAGCAGCATCTCTTGCAAAATAGCTTGTGCCACGAATATGTGCTTACTCTATGCAACCYAGTACATTAATGGTATATATATTTTCCTTTGTCTACTTGTGCAAGTTGGAGAAACTCGGCAGGTATTATCTTCTGCTTCTGAATGTTTTTATGCAAGGTTCAAAGTATCGACATGTATCAGCCTGTATTGGCCCATGGTTCAGAGGGTAGCCGGGGCTTAAATCGACCCCTCTGAACCAGTTTTGAAAAAAAAAAAAAGTATCGGCATATTGGCCTGTGTTGATACTTTGAACCTTGCTTTTATGCGCTTGTGTTGGACCGGAAAACAGAATGAGCAAGTTCATAATTAATTTTTCTTATAAAATGAATAACTATATTGATAAATAAGTGAAAACAAAATAAACCAGTGTCATGGGAGGCCTCTTCAATATTCAATATTCTTACAACTAGGGGTGTTCACCGTTTGATCCAGACAGGTTTGAGAAAAATTCAGATCAGATTCTAAGATCAGACCAAACCGTTTTAGTATAAAAACCACACCATTTTATTATGATCTGATCAGGTTTCCTGATCACATGATTTGATCACGCACACTCACTGCAGTTGTGAGCCTTTTTTCCTCTTGGGGTTCACCCAAAGTTGGTAAAAATAGTAAACTTCCATACGGTTTTAGATCAACTTACTAATTTACGTATGAACTAAATCCCTCGTTTGATACAGATTGTGAGGATAATAAGCCATTTATATGACTGAACCCAATAGATTTTCATCATAAAAGCCGCTTACCTAGAGTATATTGTAGCATAGCATGTGTTATCATTTTACAAAAGTGGCACTATTTGTAGCCGCCTAGAAAGGCAAAAGAAAAAGAAGAAAGAATTGACTGCTCTCTTGGGAAAGATAGAACATGTCGGCTGTCTCATACTGTCATACATTCCGGACTCAGAGGCCATACCCATGTTTTAATATGAGAATCGTTGGGTTATGTTTCACTGCCTCAAACTCCTAACTATTATTATGCTGTTAGAAATGTGACTAATACGAATGGTTTTGAAATAACAACTCCAAGATAACATTATTCGTCTGATTGTTATATCTAACTTCATTATCTAAATTATATGACAGCATTACAAACTTTCAAATATGCGCAGTCTTGAAACATGTACAATTCCCCACTCAAATTTGAACTTAGTCGTGGAAAATTTCTTTCATTCCAAGGTTATTTTCCTCGGGCCAAACAAAATCAGAAATTTCAAACCTTTATTGTTCTATGCAGCTTCACAGCTTTCAGAATTGTAACAATTATACATGGGCGGTGTTTGGAAGTAATGTCGTTTCTTAAGAGGCATTTTCTCAGAAAATAGTGTTGTATAGACATGCTGTTTTCTCAAAAACTGTTTTTTTTTTTTTGGGGGGGTTTTCTATTTGATACCATTGCTATTGCTGCCATATAGGCGTTTTTCTTTGCCATGTTAACATACTATTACTAATAATATGGTGTTTTCTCATATCACACATTTCTCAATTTTTAAGGTCGGGGTCTGAAAAAACATTTTTCGGAAAAATGGCTAACAAAACATCAGGCATTTCCGAAAAAATGGATTTCAGGAATGATTTTGAAGTGATGTCATTTTTCGAAGAAATGGCATTGATGACAAACACCTACATGATTAGGTTTATACAGCTTAGAGCTTACATATGACAAGTGCTAACTATTGGTAGGGAATTTACTATTGTCTCTAACCATACACGTTTTCCTTAGAGGCCTTGCATAACCCCAAATATTAGATTTGTCCTCGTAAAGTCTCACACTTTAGGATGGGTTTTGTCTATATGTTCAGAAATGTGTGTAATTTATAATATATATAATATAATATTATAAATTATATATTAGTCTATAATATATTCAAAATATATAATTATATTCTTCTATAGCATATACATTTTTATTTTATTTCAATTTTTATATTAAAAATTAAGAATCAAAGCAAAAAAGGCGTTTTTAGCAAAAATAGTGGGGTAAAGAACCTTTTGCACCTTGGGAACACATAGATATTGAAAAGTTGTCCAACAAAAAAAAAGATCATCCCAATTAGACATCCGAACACAAAGCTATGGTTTTAGAAGTTTCAATTTATGTGCTAAAAAATTCAAAAGAACAGCCGGATTTCTAAAACTGGGACCGGGTCACCGATTTTTCATTTTGACCGCCTGGACTACCAGTTTTGGCCTGGTTTTTTACATAATGCGGTTTGGGGGTATGACCGAACTGGCCAGGGGGACTAATCACGGATCAACTGGTCCAGTCCAGTTTTCTAAGCACTGATTTTGTCCAATAAAAACTAGAGAACCATATACCTTGCAGCCTCCTTAGAACACCTACCTACCGTTATTAAGCTTCGATCATGCCCCTTCCTACTAACCACTGATAATAAAATTAATTGGAGACCGAAAGACTGATTTTAGAGGCCTCAGATACCTAAAGGCTGATTTTACAAAGCTAATAGGAAATGGTAATAATACAAATTTGTGAGAAGACATATGGGTAGGATCCTTCCCTTTAAGCCAATGAAAAGCTCCAAGGCCCCCTCTCTGGAAATTCTCCTACTCAGGTCTTGGACCTTATTCAAAACAATGACAGGCACCTTGGTTTCATCTCTTTTCTTTCCTTCAATGAGTTTGGATCTGCTCCTCACATAACGCTCTTCACAGCAACCTCACAAAATGCATGTCCAAACGCACTTCACACTGACCTCACAGGCACATCCCATTATTGAAAACATCTCCCATGATAATAGCACAAAAGTATGGGAAATGTTCCCAATACCTGGTGGGATGTGCCTGTGAGGAGCGCTGTGTAAGGAGCAGTTTCCCACTCCTATTGCTCGGGACTGGTCCTATCAAGGTGGGTCTGACGAGGTCATGTAACAATAAAAACAGCCCACCATTTCTTGTTTAACTGGCAGCTCATCTGGAAAGTGGCCATGTCAATGTTGGGCTAATTTTTTTTCTTAGGCTCCGAAGTCTAGTCTGTATAAACTTCCAACATGCAGGAAGGAATCTTCACAATGTTTTCGAGCTTCTTGAAAGACCCTTGACACATACGAATTTCACTAATTCAGCACTAATATCGTGGAGCAAAGAAGTGTACTGACATTCTACGCAAATATAGCTAACATGAAAATCGTAGGTCTTGTTTTGATTCTCCTTCAAGCAGTGATGCATGCCCTGAGTGGAGATCTATTGATTGCTTCTAAGTTTTAATTTACATTACGTTTTTCCTTTATTAAAAAAAAAATTTGCACTACATCAATGATTAATTACATGAACTAAATAATTGGAAGCTATACTTCATAGTTGAAAATATCCTGGTAAGAAAACCCAGTCTTGCTAAACAATAGGCACCAATAGGTTTGAATAAGACAATAATCACTTGGTTTGCTTTTACAAGTCGTATGGTTTCATGGTAATTGGGCATTGCCATCACCATCCAGGTTGTAATAAGTTATATTTTCAATCAGAAAGCTGGACTCTTGACAAATTCTACATATCAGTTAAAATTAACCTTCATCCATTTCACATCTCTCCCGAGTAGGGGGAACAAGGGTTGGTTCAGTTTCAAGGTAGAACTTAGAATATGTCGAATCTAGGTTTTTGGATCCAATACCTATATTGTTAAGAGATGTTCCAAGGTTGATTCTGGCTTTGACAGTTTCAGGGTCTACCCATGGAATCTGTTCTTAACTTGATTTTTAATAATAATAATAATAATAAAGTTCAAAACTTATATTACCTTTGTTGATTAAATTGAGTAATTCAATGGATAGATTATCATAATATATTAATATATAATTCAAAACTTATCAATTATAATTTAAATTTGTAAATATTACTTTATTATACACATTCAAGTATTACATTAAAGAAAAATGATCAAACCATTTATATGACTCAATGGTCAAGTGAGACCATGGTTTTTGTAACCATGAGTGTCTGGATTTCTTCACATCCTCAAGTATTTTGTGATTTATTTCAAAGCAAATTTGGTCCCAGAGTCGATTCCACCAAGGTCAAACAAGGCTGGTTCTCCGAGTAAATTCAGGTAGGATAAACCCCTAGACCCTGAATCAGCCTAGGCGGGGGTTGGTTCCAAATACCCTACCTGTCAAGGTCGGTTTCATTGGATTTCAAGTAGAACATACCCATTGGCATACCCCTACTCCCAAGTGTTACGGCTTCCCTTTTATACCTTCCTTTTATGAACTGAATGATTCACATTCTAGTTAAAAGTTAAAACTGTACACATCAAACCCAACCCTTCTATGTGATTCGATCAGTCTCATGTAAAGCATCAGATAACCTATCTGAAATTACATGCATCTCTTTTCCATTTGTTTACCTTGCAGAACAGCATTCAAGAGAATGTAAATAAGAGATATTGGTTTAGTACATGCATATTGGAGAATCAATGTGTCCACCTCCAAAAGCTGTACACGACAATTATTGTCACCACCATTCCTGTGTATGCAATCCACTTGTCAGTGCGGTGTCTCCTCTCAACGAGCTTCAATACAGTGTTGGAGAGCCCTACTGTGTTTAATATGTCAAGTGCTTTCCGTTGTGCCCTCTGAATGGAAAATGTAAGTCACATTAGCATGAAGTTGGATTTTCTCATCACAAAATCCGTCCTCACAGATCTTACAGTTGTGCATTGGGAATATCTCCCCATGAATAGAAGCATAGAAGTATGGAGATGTTCCCAATGCATAGCTGCAAGGGCTGTGAGGATGGACATAATCTGAATTCCATTAGCTAAATGTACTTCAATATTGACAACAAGGTTATGTTCGGTTTGATAGAAAATAATAGAAACAAAAAATTGAGAAAAAGTAGTAGCAAAATGATAACAATAAACTTTACTTTAGCACCTCACTGATAGTGTTTCTGCAGTCCTAAAAGCCTTTGTTCACTAGATAGAGAAATGCATAAGATTGATGTTCCAATGTTAATTACTTCACATGGCCTAGCTTAAAATTATCAAATAACAGTCTCTTATTCTTATCATTTATCTCTTATCAGGATTTATGAGCCATTCAACTTGGATCACTATGTATCATCAAATTCATTGCCTGTCTTGGTCTATTTGTGCCATGGCTTCACCTTCGACCTCTTTGTGTACTAGAGGTGTACGGTGCATCATAAGATTTTTTCTTTCAAATTCAATGCTATAATACATCCAACATTTCTAATCTCATTGACTTTCTCACCATAAAAGGGTACCATTAGAAGAGCAACACATGTCATTTCAAAGAACTCTATCTACTAGTTCTAATTCAGTTGGCTTATGTTTCCCCTCTATTGACTCCACAGATCTTAAAGTATTCAGTGCAGAATTGCATTTTTTTTTTTTGGTGTTGCACAATGGTTCTGAAGTATATCGTCTAAGGGATGAAGTGCAATTACCTTCAGATGATCCCTTTGCTCTGCATATTTTGACAAGATTGCAACCCCTGTAAAATAAGCTTCTTCAAGCATTCTGGACGAATTATGAGCTGACTTCATTGCTTGTGCCTCATCATCAAAAATCCTCAAAACATGAGCAGATTCTCCATTCTGAAACAAAGTGGATTAGATTTTGGAATAAAAAAAATTAAAGGGGTTGTAGTAGTTGAATATAATAAGGAAAAGACAACATACAGCTCTCTGAAGTAGTTCTGCCCTTTCTTTAGCTTCCAGCATTCTTTTCTGATGGCGTAATAAATGTTTTCCTAGGCTTTCCTTCAAGGAGTCGGCCTCTTCAGCCACCTGTTCTACTTTTCTGTACAACAATACACAAATCACATTCAAATTTCAAGTATGATGAACACAACCAACTTTCAAATATAATTACCATGCTGATATAAAAAGTTTGATAGCAGAATGATATCCAGATATTTTCAATGGTGTTACAATATAAAAAATGGTTGTCTGTATGGTCGAGTTGAAGACAAACTTAGAAGTTCATGAAGGAGAAAGGTCAATTATTGCCAAGATGAGGTTGAAAGGTCATTGTTTGGAGTCTGTATCCTCAAGAGACAACGTGTAACAGAGGCTAGTAAACCCAATCAGAAGTAAATAGATCAGTTGCTAGTACATCTGGTAAAAGTATGGATTACTGACATTTTTATTTCTAATTGGGTGTGCTATCTCGTATTACACATCTTGTTTCTAGCAGATCCATGCTGGTTATTAATATCATCATGGATCCTCAGTGACTTTCATGATTGGAGGGKGTAACCAAAATGCAGAAATCCAGTTTATATCCATGGAATTTTTGCAGCACTTCTAGGTTCCCCTTTGGGTGCGTGGTGGGAGGTGAACATATCCTATTTTAAAGCCATAACTTGCCAAATTGGCCTTCCTGACTCATTTCAGCAAGGTCTGAAGCAGAATCAACTCAGTAAGTCAGTAGTGATTTACCTATTAGCAATTAGGATCCGATCTGTGATTTACCTATTCTTCACAAAAGCCCCTTGATTGGAAGTTACCAAAGAGAGGAGAATTTCCCGAATTCTAAAAGGCATGACTTTAGCTAAAATTTCATACAAGCCATTCACCAAGCTAATAGGTTTGAAATCTTTGGGATGGTCAGCTCCACTGTTTTTACCATGGTTTTCAAACCGCAGTTGATTCGGATGGTCGGACCGTTCGGCCCAAGAACCGTCTAGGCAACCGGTACCATTTCGGCACAAAAACCATTGAATCAGTCAACAACCCATTGACCCGGGCAGTCGAACCGTCGACCCGTTCAACGGTTTTTTGCCATTTTTAAAATTTAATTATTTTTTATTTTTTTAAATTTAGTTTTTCAGAACGGGTCGTCCGTTTGGACCGGACGGTTGAACCGTCGACCTGGAAACCGGTGGCTAGAACGGTTCCGATTCTGGATCGTTTTTTAAAACATTGGTTTTTAGGGATCAAAGCAATAAATGTGGAGTTCAACCCTAGGTTAATTACACCCCTCTCAAAGAATTCACTAAAGACCTACAAATAACCTTTCAACACATCCCAACAATCTTGGTAAAAGGCCGTGGTGAAACCATCTGGCCCTGGAGAATTGGTTCTATCCATAGAAAACATTGTCTTCCTAACCTCCTCCTCCTCCTCCTCAAGATGTCTTTCCAACCAAACCCTCTAGTCTCTCGATAGGCTAGGCCAATCCAAACCCTCAGCCCACAAAATTCTAGATAAAGGCCTTCTAAAGATTGATTTAAACTTTTAAAGTGCTCCACAATGCAATCTCTCCCGCACAAAAAAAAAAAAAAAAAAAAAAATCCAAATTCCATGAATTTCTTAGTGCACCAGGCATGAAGAGGGATGCCCACAAAACTTATCTAAACAAATCTCCTTCCTTTGATATCTATGAACTAATCCGCCATAAGATTCCATCTTCCTATCTTTAACTCTGGATTTCACCATGGACCATTTGATTCTACCTCTAAAATTTCATCAGCTACTTACCCACACAAAGTTGTGTGGAAACACAGCCAAGGATAGGAAACAGAGTTAAGGATATGACTTTCTGTCAGGAAACAGACTTTGTGTGGCTAAGGTAGCTGATGAAACTTTGTGTGGGAAACAGAAACATCACTTTCTGTTTCCCAATCCAGCTTCCTTTGATATCTTATCACCATTTTTGTATTTCTCTCTATTCAATAAATTTTCTTTTTTATTTACCTTCAAAAAATTGTCATTAATTCATTGTGAATCCAGGAAAATAAATGTAACAATCGACATAAAGTGAACAGAAAATTCATCACATATTATCATTCCATTTTCAAGTAAATTGCAAAGGAAGTAGTCACGAAAATTAGATCCAATTACCAGTTACAAGGTTCAAAACCAAAAGTTGAAAAAAAAAATCATAGAAATGAATCTCTAATACCTCAACGGTATCAAAAACAAAAAAAGGAGAAACAGACTGCAAGCGGAACGAACCAATCGAACAAGAGAGACAGATTGTAGAGATTAAAGGGCAAAATTACTTGCCTCTTCCAAAGATCACGTTGGGGTTTGGAGGGAACGGATCTCCAGAGACGATCCATCTCGACGCAAAGGGATTGGATCTGAGCAATGTCGTTTTTGATAGAGAAGGAGAGCTCAGGGGAATCGACACCAGTGGAGGATGAAAATTCGAGCCGCTCTAGCCGCTCCAATCCATCCCTTGTCCTCAGCAACAACCTCTTCGAGTTCGAGTAGATTTCCGACAACGTTCCTCCTCCCTCAACGGCCATGGCGCCTTGATGTATATCCAGATATCAGGCGTAGATCGAGAGGGAGAAAGAGCGATCTTTTGTTATACCCAGTGGCTTCTCAAAATTATTTGTTAAAAATTTAAAAGTTAAGATTAAAGGACAAAAATGCCTTCAATTGTTCTTTAAAATTTCAAAATATGCACTCGTCTCCTTCCTAAAACCCTCTTGTTCCTCCTCTTTTCTAACATTGAAAGCTTTCGTGGCCTTCCCAGATATCAGGGCGGAGCTAGGGCCTAGGGGGAACCCGGAGGGGCCATGCCCCCCCGCCCCCTATGGTTTGAAAAAAAAGAAAAGCACTAATATCTCTTTATGGCACCCCCATGGTTTTGGCCTTTGGGTAAGTATATTTACATTATATTAAATGTAATACATATAAAAGTTTAATAGTTTATATAATATATTTTGTATTTTTTGGATTGACAAGGTAAAATGATGGAGTTCTCTCAATCGTTGAATCTCTTCCATTTTAAAAGTAGTTTTTTATATAATTATTAATTAGAGGAATTCGAGAGTAATTTTTTTTTTTTTTTTAGTTTTGTAAGTTTTATTGCCATTTTATTATTGTGTGTACTGAAATTGATTCAACACATAAGAAGTTGGAACAGTGGAGAAAAAGTTTTACATTTGAGGTACAAGTATATAATTTGGGCGGGGGGGGGGTGAAATAGGCAGGAGTGTCAATTGGACTAGATTTGTTGTAATCCGATCCGATCCAATGTGAGTCCATTATAAATGAACTAGGTCAAATCCAATCCAATGAATATTTTGGATCGGTCCAATTCAATGTCCGGATCATTCAATCTATTCAAATTCGTTTTGATTTAGATTGGCTTCAACTCAAATTTGGTCCATTCACACTTATATTCTTATCCTATATCAATGGACCAAATATTGGCTTAATCCAACCCAATCCAAATATAAACTTATTACGAACGGACCATGTCCAATCCAATCTAATAAATATTTTGGACCAAATTAACCCAATTCAATATATCTTGTTGGTCCATCCAAATTGATTTTGGACTGGACGGGGTCCAATCCAAAACCAGTCCATTGATACCTTTAGTTATGGGATTGGCACACAAATACATGCCACGCCCTACCGAGCGTATGCACCCCTTAGCCATGCCCATTGCCTAATTCACCCTAGCACACTATGCACTTGCCCTTGCCTTCTTGCTTAGTGCCAACTTGCCTAGGGGTGATAATTTTAGTCTGACTTGCATAAGCCTGGCTTGAAAATTTCGGACTTGGGCCTAGGTTTTGTGTTCAAGCCCAATCCCAGCCTGGCCCAAATACCATAAATTTCATGGTYGAGCCTAGGCCTAATACTTCCAGCCTAACTCCAACCTACACATATTTATATATATGCCTTTTGTGTATAATGTATACATTTATATATGTGTTATTTTATGGCATTGATATATTATATATTTTATATATAAGTATTATAATATGACACTTATAATAATATTATATAATGTATAAAATAAATATATATGCATCTTATTGTAAGTGCAAAGCTCAGCTCAGCCTATGATTACCCCTATGGTTTGCCTAGTTCACTTGCCTTCCCAASAACTAGCCCACCCTCCTCCCTCGTTGTAATTAACAAGGCAAAACCAAGGAAAMTTGTTTTTAAAAAAGAAAAATATATAAAGTATCAAGTGAAAAGTTAAATAAAAATGTTAGCATATTTACTTGTTAACATTTTGGGGATTTAGAATCATGTATTATATTCTATTTTAATTGTTAACATTTCACTATGAAAGTTAGGATCTTTGTTCAAGTAATCATAATTGCTTTTGACCCTCTTAAGAAAAAATCCTGTGTAGGTTTGGTGGTAAGGTTACAAAAAGGGTCTCCTTAAAAAACAAAGGAAGACCGAAGAGGTAAGGGAAGTAAGGGGTGCTGGTAAGGGTAAGATAATGTGAGGCAGGGCTAGGAAGTTAGCTCTCTCTCTCTATGCTCTCAAGATGATTCCATGTAGAGGGCTTCGGGCCTCTCCTATTTATAGAGGAAGGGGCAAATCTAAAATGAGAGTTAGGAAAATGACAAGAAGAAACATTTTTATGTAAGAATAAATAAAGGGGAGCAAATTAATCCTTAGTCTTGCTGAATCATACCAATACCATTCATGTACGAAGAAYAAGAAGCCATGTTGCACCCCAAAGAATATCATGCTACAGTTATCAAGGAGGTTTAAACGTACATACCTGTATCCATCGCAGTAGTGGAAACCCTTGCGGAATGAGTGATGAATCAATGGTTGGTCGACTGGTGTGGTTTTCCTCAATTAAATTTTCCTTCTTCCTTAGGTTTTCTCAGTTCTTGACTCTAATGGGGTAGAGCAAGAGGGCGGCTAGATGATTTAACATATTGGGAACCATAACCTAGGAGCCTTTATATTTTGACCTAATAGGATCCCATTAAGCCTATATGGGCYAAAATGTGGTATCCACTCATTAAGCCCCATACCTTTTTGTTGAAGTCTACGGGCTTTGCTTAAATGAATCACTTGATTTAGCCCACTTACAAGATAGCCCATCAATACAATTGTTTCAYTGAATATGTAAGCCTACTTAACAGAGATTAAAACCTAACATTTTATCCCAAAAAGGCAGCTATGATTTATTAAGYAGATAGCGGGTAAGCTTCCTAAGGTTTCGCCATGTGTCCATAAGAATCTCTTGGGATTAAACTTTCTTGCCCTTAGAACTCTCATGTAAGCATGCTTATAGCTACAACCATTTTGATAACTTACTCATAATCACATGAGGTGATGCTCCTTTGATGAGTATGTAATATCGCAAATAGAGTGACATCGTTGTTGCCCAAGAGGCACTTTGTGGTGTCAAGTTAATATGAGAGCGTTAATGGATGTGGCTTATGTTTATTAATGTCATCACAAATTATATATTTTGCATTCACTTGTTCTAAATGATATCTAAAAAAGGTTGGTGAGAACATCACAGGTGTCATCGTAGGTCTTGTGCGGTTTGTTAAGTTATGGGGCTATGCGATTTCAATTATTGGTAGTGCAGTTGTACTACCATTGGTGATGGTGATGACTTCATTAAGGGTATTGTAGTGGTTGGTTCTGTGCTATTATGGTCCTTATGGCAAGTTCCGTGATAACTTACACCTGGCTCCACCCCTGTTAGTTTTACAACTCTATCCAAATAAGATTGTTCTCTTCATCTAACTTGGACTTCCATTTCTCTCCAACTTCTTTGAAAACTACTAAAACATTCATTTTTACTTTGCTATCGTACTCAAAGATTTTGTCTAGATGATCTTCTTTATAAGTTATTATTGTAGTCCAAAACAAGGTAACAAATAAGAGAAGTGAGAAGGAAGTAGGAATCAAATGAATCTAGGCAAGGCGAATTGCCAAATTGAGCAAAGGTGGTTTGAAGAGAATTCTTTGATGYTTAAGTTAATAAGTAGGTTAGAGATTGCCAAATTGAGCAAAGGTGGTTGGGTCGATTATGTAAAATGAGAGTAAGAAGGGAGGTATAGTGTAAATACCTTTTATCTGATGATCCTTTACCTATTCATATAGGAGTTATTATGTTCATCAAGGAGTCCTAATCCTATTGGAAGATAACTACCAAGCCTGGCCTAAGTTTATTGGTTAAATCCTTATCAGAATCCAAACATGTTGGAGACGTTCAGGCGTACTAGTTGGTTAAGTCAGTTGACTGGGCTAGTATGGGTCATTGGCATGTTCCTTTGAGTATTCTATTCAAGGATGTGTATTAGCTCGGGATTGGACAACGCAAATGGGCCTCACCACTTGTCCTCTACCTTGGAGACTGAAGTGGTCATCTAGCTACTTATAGCAAAAGGTTGGTTMGGTTCAAGAAAGCTATCAAACTAGTTGTTAGAGTAGGGGATCAAGTTTGAGCCGTGTTGAGGTTGTTATTCTAAGGAAACGTGAGAATCTTAGTCGACGATGCGTAGTTCGTACACGCTCTTCAGGGGGTTGTGTCACTTCTATTCATGTGGTTGGCAGGGGAGTTGTCACTAAGCTGTCATTAATGCTCCACTTTGTCTTCCGAGGCATGTTGTCAAAGTGACCCGTCAATCATGGGACACGTGGAAAATGTTTGATCAAGGTGAAATCTAGGCCATTGATTGGGGGCCAATCTAAGCCATTCGTCATTTGCTTTTGGAGTCCAGGGAGAGTAGAGTAGAGCTAGGTCGTTTGAGAGTTCAACTCGGTGCTCGATATCTTCCTTAGTTTGATTTGTTGGTTTGGTAGGTCTCCTTTGCTTCTCTTCTTTCATTATGCCGTTATCTTTTAGTTCAAGTTCTAATTATTTTAGTTTATCCAAAGGAGATCGGATTCAATTCTCACAAGACTGTGTTTATACCATTCTCGCAGTCTTTTATAGCTATGCATTAGGAATATCTCCCCATGAGAACAACATACAAGGCTACAAGGGACTGTGCGGACAGTGTAAGCACGGTCTTGTGAGGACCAAATCCGGTTTTCATCCAAACAATTTYCTTAGGCTGCGTTTGTTTGCAATATAAACGCAAATATGTACATTACATATTTGCCCATTTTTCGGTTCATGAATGCAAACATGATTCACATTTTAAACCGTTTTTGCGTTCATCCTGTTTGTTTGAAATCGGTGCAAAGGTGTGGGCCTATCATTAACTGTTCCAACTATCTTATGCTCCAATGCCTCAACTTTGGTCAAAAAGTTAATTATCAAATGAATAGAAATTTGTATCCAAAAAATAGGTACAGTAATGCTCTCTTTTTAGAGTACAAAAGTGTCAGAAAATGCAAATTAACTTTGATAGTCATTACTTTTTTACGTTTTAAACAAACACTCTCAAACGCGAATCGGGGTGCATAAATACCCCTGTTCGGTGTTTGTATCGCAAACAAACGCAACCTTAGTAGTTTCACTTGTGACAATGCATTTGGCCTCTATTATGGATTTTTTTTTTGTTGATCTTTGCTTACTATTCTTCAAACTAATAACTCTCGACCCTAGGAAGAAAAAATAAATCAAGATGAAGATTTTCTATCATCTGGGTCAGACTAGAAATCGACATTAGTATACCCAACTAATTATAGTGAACTTCTTTCAAAGATAAGTCAATAATCCTTTGTTTTCTAAAGATATTTTAGTATGTTCTTTATAACAGTCCAATGCTTAGATCCTAGATTCAATTGATATCTACTCACAACACTTGATGCCTAAGCTATATTAGGTTGGGTACRCAACAACATATACATGAGGTTCCCAATGACTGAGGCACAGAGAATGTTTCTCATGTTTTCTATTTCCTTAGGAGTCTTGTGTGGCATACCCTTGGATGGAGTAACCACATGTCGAAAAGGTACAGATCTTACATGTCAAATCTCTTAATGATCTTATCAATATAAGTTGCTTGTGAGAGTCCAATGATAAGTTTGGCTCTATCTCTATAGAGTCGAAGTCCTTTCCAAGATCTTAAATAGAGAACAACTATGAAAGCCCCACTCTCACTGATAACAACATTTTTACATCATTTTCAATGAGTAGATAATCATTTAGTGATCTTTGCATGTAAAAATTTCAACAAATAAAGAAGGTAAAAATCAAAATTTTTCACAAACTTTAATGTTAAACTCGTTTGTCTTTAGAGAGAACCRATTTCTCTTTTGGATTGTTTGGGTCTATTGGACCATAAAAGATCAAATCTTTGGATTTAGTATATTGATGTCCAAAAATATAGAAATCAAAGTGGTAGCTCACACCCAAGCTTGAATCGTCCCAAGAAAGTTTGTAATGAATTGAAGATGACATAGTCTTATGTTTGCACTCTGAATTTGCTCTCTAGAAATCTCTAGAAAGGTGATGTTTCGGTCATGAATTTGAGTGATATTTTCACCCAAAAATCTTTTAAAAACACTCTTTAATGGTTGTTCTCTATGTTTAGTCAAATAAGGTTGCAAAGCCCTAATCTCTCGTAACATGTAGGTTAAACTAAACAATGTATGCGGTGCATAGTTCGACCCCTTTTTCGGATCCGTTTATATAGACAAGAAGGGTTATAAGAATTCCTCTCCTAGTTCTACAAGGTTTATGAACATTATTAGAAAAAAAATATTGAAGAGAATTTTGTTTCCTAATTCATCCCAAAAAACTAGAACATTTCTAATTAAGTTGGACTTACAAGTGCCAACAAGACCTTTCACTCGATAGAGACTTATGGGTGTTATCCAACCTTATAGTGTTCGATCTCAAAACACCCAACAACACTTAGATAGAAAACCAGTAGTTGATCAAATACAGTAAGTATTTGAATGAAGAAACAAATGATAACCAATATAATGTCTCTACAAGACCGATATGCAAATACAAAGTAAACTATTTAGATGCAAGAGAATGCATAATAAAATATGGGTTGTAACACTTGAAGAGACTCAAGTTTTTTAGTGAGAATCAATCAAACACAAATGGTTTCTTAACTTTTTCTCATAAAGATGAAACCTTTATAGCTAAGAATCACCGGATCCTATTTTTCTCTTTTGCTTTTTCTCTCCTTTTCACTTAGAACCTTTTTGCTCAATGCACGTCCTTACAAAATTCAGCTTAAACTCAAGAATAAATAATAAGAAACAAGCTAGAAAGCTTATAATTCTTATTAAGCTATTAGGGAAGGATGAAACCATTTATGGAAGCATTCTAAGTTTATTCCTAACACGATTGAAGGCTTGCCAAAAGAGGAAAGAGTTGTTGAGCCTTTAAATAATCAAAATTTGATATTTCTTCATGAAGTAATTGGCTATCACAATCAAATAGTTGACTTCTTCATCTTGTTAAATGTAGGTAGTTGACCATCAAGATAAAGTARCTGACTACTATTTGTAGGATATAATCTTTTTCTTTGGTAGTCAATTACTAGGTGAAGCTCAATCTCGACTGTTATACTTAATTGATAGTAACCTTTCTCGAGAATGGACTACTGAGTGATGCTAGCTAGTGTGACATCAGGGTTGATCGTAACAGCTAGTTGACTATGGCCTTTTGCGTTGTCGATTTTTAAGTATGACTTAACCTTACATCACTCAATAAATAGTTGACTCCTAAGATCCGGGAGTTGATTTCATAGCCTTTCAAACTTTGAATTTTCATATCTTTGATTAATACATAGTTTAAGAAAAGCCTAAGAACATTTTCTAACTTAACCATTACTCTCTAAGGTTTTGATAGAATTGAGGTAATTCTATAAGTTAAGCCACTATATGGGCGCTTCTTACAAATGATTACATCAAGTCATAGTAGATAAAACGATTTAAAGACTCCAGAACTTGATATTTTCTTCTTCTTGTTCATGAGAGTAGATGCCCATTCCTTGGATGCTTTATTTGAGGAAATAATTGGTATATCTACACACTTAAATTTCAAATCATTATATAATACTCTCAATGCATTTATTATCATTGAAACACATAGGATCAACACACTATTGACCCTAACCGGCCTATTGAAATAGGTTTTAGATTCAATATAGTCTATACAAGTATCAACATCTAAGGAAGGGATGTAGCCATGTATGTAATATCACAATTCCAAAAAGAAGTTTTATACATCTAGCTAGGAAATACTAATGTCGTGCACTTGTTCATTTAGGCCATAATTTTTTAGGGATTTTTGGACTGCACTCCCCCTCAGAAATCTTTTTTGCAGCTCCCTCCTGATCTACTAGTAGCCCCCCCTATAAATCACATCCTGCCCGTAAATTTGACATCAATCCACGGGCAAGATTCAATCCACCCTAGGTGGAGGTAAGATTTCTTAGGAGTGGACTGAATCATAAAAACCCCCAATTTTTTTTTTTTTTTAATTCTTGAAATCTTTATGGGCCCCTTCGATTTGTTACTAGTATCAATGACCCTGAGCGGTAACCGGAATTTAACATAACTCAACGCTAGCTACAGTTTCCAACTAACTTCCAAAAACACCAATTTCAGTAGGGGGCTATATAACAAAATTCAGTACCACTCTTTACGTAAAAGAAATGTTTATCTGATCGATCTTAATGGTTACAAATAGAGAATGAAGGTGAGGTGGCAGTGTGAGTAGTAGGTGAAGGTCGTCACATAGACGTTAGTTGTTGAATACTAATTGGGAGGCAGATGTCAAACAAGGGTTGGCCGAACCAGATSGAATGAGCAAGCAAGGTGTTGACGGCTTTGGTAGGGTTGTAGAAGTCCCACCAAACGTGAGTTGAAGGCTCCTCACAAGCAACTTCTTTGGAAACACACCCAACCATACCACCATATCTTCCAATCCCACAGCACGCGCTATGCACGTTCTCAAATCCTGCATTTATATTATTATAACACACAAGTTAGTTAATTAGGCTTAGTTTGGACTGCAAATTAATTAAGATCAGATGTAGATTGTAGAGAGAGCTAGAAATACGTACCATAGCGTCTGGGGTTGTTTATGATGTCCATCATCCCTTTGTAAACATCGCAAAAGATGATCTGAGCATCACGCAACTCCATTCCCATATCAACCACACTTGACGACACTATTGCATTGTATTCTATGATCATCTCGTTGATCCAATCGATGCATTTTCCGCCGTTGATTTCAGCCGTAGAATTGCTGTTCTCCCATACCGTGCGTGGGGCACACCCCAATGGCCCTAATCCCATGTAGATGATCTTCCTCACATTTGCGTAGTAGAGATCCTGCTGTTGTAGAGAGTTTAATTCAACGGGTAGAGAGAGAGTTGGCATGTTAACGGGTGGGTTGGATTCCGGTACCTAACCCGACCCCACTCGATATGGGTTTACCTGATCCCAACCCAACCTTATCCAAGTCCAACCGTCCTATATTTTATAATTATAACACATTTTGCAAATTAAGAGCAATTTATTCGGATTACGGGTTTCAAACTGTCACTTCCTCCGACCAAATCCAAAATTATGGGATAGGAAGTGGTATCAAATTAACAAGGGGAAATTGTGTATCATGCCGGAGAGTCTTTGACCAATCAAAACCCCGTGAATTTTGATGAAATTTGGTTGATTGATGATAATATTTTTTTTTTCCGATCAGTATCATGTATTAATTATATTTGTAGGGAGGGATTCAGAACCTGATCCAAACCTGATTCGAGTTCTACTCGGTATCGACAGAGACAGACAGAGAGAGAACCTTAATTACTCGGGTTATCTGATTGACCAAAACCTGCGCAAATCCTTTGGCGCCGAACCTGTGCCTTAAGCCAGAGATATCATGAAGGAAAAGCTCAACATAATCGTCTTTGCCAAATGAGAGGTAGAAGAGAGACGAGTTGATCATCTGTTGAGCCTTGTCCTGCCCTAGTTGCAGCTGCAACAACTGAAGAGTCTCGGACGCTTGCCGGAGCTGCTGGTTCAGAGACTGGAACCCCAACTTACCAGTGTTCATAATCGTCGCCGGAGACGACCCGAAGTTCAGGCCACCAAGTAACCCTTCAATAGTTCCATTCTGACCGTAAAATGGGGGGATCTCAGGCAACCCCATCTTCTCAGCTGCACCCAAAAACTTACCTGTTAATCAACTGACCGAATTGCATTGAATTGCTGGGGTCTTCCCCTCAGTAAAATCTATGAAAAACAAGATTTCCGACTGCAGAGTAGTTGTGATGGAGTACAAATCTATGTAGGAGCTCTTTTTTTTTTTTGAGAGAGAGAAGGAGCTTTGATCACTTTAGTTGATTTACTGGTTACGATTGTTTCTGCCTAAAACAAGATATAGATATTTAAAGAAAAATAAAGAAGCAATCTTTCTCGACCGAACTGGTCCATTCAAGAAAATCAAGAACATCACACTGAGAATGAAAGAGATGTACAACATGGAAGAAAAAAAAATCGGCGTCGGCGTGTATGAGAGAGAGAGAGAGAATTACCGAGTAAATCAGGAAGAAAGCTTGTTTGTGATCCATCACAGCGGTATAACAACGCACTTTCATCGAGAAAAGAGTAGAGGTGATTGTAGCCGCAATTGACAGAGGAATCTCCAAGGATGAACATTGCAGAGAGAGAAGCACCGACCACAAGACCAAGAACATCACCGAATGCGGAGAAGATTACAAGATGAAGAAGCAAATTCATGCCTCCCATCTGCTCTTCGATTCACTTTTCTTCTGCGTTTACTTATTTCAACCAAAGAATGTGGTCGAACAAAGACCATGAAATCTTTCGAATTGTTTGAAAATGGGCGCGGAAATAGCTTCTGCGTTGTTTCATATAACTAATAAGCAAAAAAATATATTCCTGGACTTGAAAGAGAACGTCAGAAATCCACCTCTAGACATGTATAATCGTGATTCAATTTCTACCATTCGATGGGACGAATAAGAAAAGATCACTTGTTGAATAATCCTGGACGGTGGTGATTATTCACTTATCCTTTTTCTTATTTAGGTCTASGAAACCAGACCAGATCTGTTCCCTTACCTCCTGACACCGACCTTAAAGCACATCCTACCATACATTGGAAACATCTCCCATGAATTTTTTGATAAATTTCTTAAACTATCTTTATGATTTAGCTATTTAATTAAGTGTACTTTGAAAATTAACTAACGCTATTCTTACTGTTTCTGACAATTGACTAACTCTACTCTTACCATTAAGGTTCATTAATATTCCGCCAAAACTCATTCACATGTGATATTTTTTTAAAACCCAATTTTACCCTCCACCTCCCTCCCTCTCCCCTTCTTTTTCTTATTGGGTTTAGACATAGAGTAATAAGACATGAGAAYTAGCTCATGCTGAAAGGAGGAGAGGCTTCACCGTGCTCTTGGTCTTGCTGAAGAGAATCATCAAGAAGAGATTTTCTCTTTCATTACTTATAAGGACTGGTACAACTTCTCCCTAGTCGATCTCTCTATCTTTGATTTCCATAGGAGAAATAGAGGAAGAGTTCCAGCTGTACTCGATTGATCAATAGAAAACGAATCGTGTGAAGATGTTGCAATAAGAAACACCCCTACTTATGCTTGCGACAACAATAGTGACTGCTACAAGTTGTCCAATGGTGTGGGATATCTATGCAAATGCTTCGAAGGCTATGAAGGCAACCCTTATCTTGAACGTGGATGCCAAGGTACATAATATAATTAATTTAACTCTTCGTCAACTTCCTCTTTGCCAAGATCAGTTCTACAAATTTGATTGCCATTGTTTAATTCAGTCTTGGTTTAATTTATGTTATAAACCGCTTGCAGACATAGATGAATGTATGGATCGAAACCATGAATAATTGCACACCATCAATGGTTTGCACAAATACGGTTGGGAGTTACTAGTGCTCTTGCCAAACGGGTACAGAGGGGGACAGAAGAAAAACTGGACGCGGGTGCATCCCTCTTCAACCTTCACAAACAAAACTTTTGGTGATTCAAGTCTCCATATGTAATATATAGGGTAAATTTCTTAAAGAGGAAGACGATAGAAGATTAGCCATCGCTGGGTTTGAAAGGTTAGGATTTTGATGAATCAGCATTTCTTTTCCCTTTTCCCTATTTTATTTTGAAAACTTGAAGAAGAATAAAGGGTAAAATAGTCTTTTTGTCTTTCTATTAACGGGTACTGACGGTAAGGAAGTATTAGTCAATTGTCAGAAATAGTAAGGGTAGCGTTAGTCAATTTATAAACAATAAGGGTACACTTAGTCAATTAGCTAAATCATAATGGTAGTTTAAGAAAATTAGCCAATAATAATTCATAAATATGGGAGATGTTTCCAACACATGGTGGGATGTGCCTATGAGGTCGATGTGAGGTGCACTCTATGAAGAGCATATCCGATCTCCTACAAAACCAATCGAAACGAATCACATAAAGGTGCATCCAAATTTGATTGGCTAATATTCTAACTCAAATCGGGTCATATTCATTAGGTTTATAGCAAATTTCAATCGAATTCGAATTATAAAAAGATTTTAACTAATATTAATAAATTATCAAAATATTAAAAAAATTCTATGATTTGAAAAGGTATCTTGTTGGAAAGACATTAACCAATCAAAAAATGTCGCATCAATTTTGTTGTATACGGCTTATCTCAATTAACCAATTACCAAGAGAAAATACAAACAACCGATATTACACATTTATACGACCCCCCCGGGTACTATGGGGTTAGTGACAAAGACCCCTATATTTTTTTTTTTTTGCAAAAAAGACTCCCTAAACTTTTATGTTGTGACAAATGCCCCCTTGGCCGTTAAGTCAGATAATGGAAACCATTAAATTACCAAAATACCCCACTAAACATTTTAAATTTTCTTTTTTCTTGCTATTCTCTTAAAACCTAACTGATCCAAAAATGACTTTAATCATTACCCGAAAAGAAAATATCTTCCTCTGGTGAGAAATATGACTTTCTCACCAGTGATCATCTTCATCGAAGTTTCATCTGTTTGTGGTGGTCTTGCCACGAATCTCTTGGGGGGTAGGATTTTGAGCTTAACAGTTAACTCATTCAAGAGTTTTAATTTAAGCCACATCCAATTCACCCCCTCTTTGATAAGGCCATCGGTCCCACCATGGGCCATCGGTCCCAATCATTCCATGGTGTATGTTGTTTGGAAATGACATTATTTTATCTTATGAAACTAATAAAGTATTAAATGCAAAATACATCTTACAAACAAATGCCTTAAAACAAGAGATTTTATAATAAGTAGGATTAAAATAGAGTATATGGCATGTAAATTTAGTAATAATAGGAGCTTAAATCAAAACACACATGGGATTGAAGACCAAGAAATAACTCAATATGACCATTGTTGTCACCTTGGTTCAATAATTCATAACATGGGAGGGGTTGAGGAGGATGTCATCCAAAAAATTAGAGCATGTTAGGAAAAATTGAAGGTGCATATAGACTTTTGATTTGTGTGATAAGTGAGTACAACTTAGAGTAAACGRAAAATGCTATGAAATAGTTATAAGGGCAACGATGCTGTACGGAGCAAAGTCTTGGGCAGTCAAGTAACAATATGTCCAAAAATTGAGTGTGGCAGAAATGTGAATACTAAGATGGATAAGTGGAAAAACTAAGATCAGGAATGAAGTCATTCATGAGAACGTAAGAATAGATCCAATAGTTGATAAAATAAGAAAATGGATTGGTCACACGCATAGGCGAAGACCACCAAAAACTTTCGTTAGAAGAAGTGATTTGTTATAAGTGGAAGGGGTTGGAAGAGCTATAGATAGACAAAAAAGGACATGGGTACAAGTAGTAAGAAATGATTTAAGCACTAATAATTTGATGGTGGATATGGCTTTAAATAGAACAAATTAATGAAACAGGACTCATCTAGTTGGGATAAGGCATGATGATGATGATGTTGAAATATAACTGAAAAATAATGAAAATTTATTAGACAATTCATGATCACACAAAAGTAATGATTGGAGTGGATTCGGTTTGACTTGGTGCAATTAGGAATGTTATAAGATTCTTTTCGCTTTAATTTCCATTAACAAATTAAGCCTGTGCATTGCACGGGTTCCGACTAGTATAAAAATATAAAAAATAAAAAATTATTTATATCATAAAAAGATATATACAAAAATGGGCATGTATCTAAAATTATTTATTTATTATTTTAAACAATAATAAGTATGATAAATAAGAATTATTAACTAAAAATACCAAAAATAGATAAACCAAATAAATATATACCTATGATCCGCTGACTGGATCAAAAGATTAAATGTTTCAACAAAATGGGGGTCATTGACCAAATCAATAATTTTGTTTTCCTTGCAATTAAACGACATAACTAGGGTGAACCAGACCTGAAATGTGGCAGGTGGTGGGTCGAACGAACCAAATATATGATTTGACCACGGGTTAAAAACACTGCCAAAAATACAACATCTATAGAGAAAAGGTTCGACTATGATATGAAAAAGTTTTGATACCCGAAAAACATTTGACCACTAATCAAAATTCATGGATGGATTTTGATTGATAAAAACTCTTTCGATACCATAGATTTACCCCTAGAGAAAGGCTCGACTATGAATTTTCATGCAGCATTATGACGTACGTATCTTTTACTTTCTATTACGAAATGAAAATACACATAACACAACATGGACGGTGTGGACTGCCTTCGAAAGTCGTGTTCAATGGTCCAAACTCCAAACATCAATTGCACCACTATTGAGAATTTTGAGATGCTCTGATGCCCCAAGCATCAGATGACCCTAGCTAGCTAGCACCTTGTCTCATCAACACATCGAATTTTTTTAGCCGGATAAAAGAGCAGATGGTCCAATACGATCGATCTGGTTCTGAAACTCAGAACAATTTTTTTTTTTTTTTCACCTGATAAGGGGAATTCGTTGCTTAAACAATTTTGTTTAAAAGATAATATAATCAATTAAAATTTGAGTGTGCGTCATCACTTTCAAAAGAACCACGTTCCATATGCTGCGAAGTGGTGAATTTCTTTACAAGATAAGAGAGAGCATATTTTAGTAGATTATTGTCTCTTTTTTTGGTAGCTTATTCATAGAATCTCATGCTCGTATCAACTGGACTGGACCATGATAACGCTTTGTCCAGCTCTTTGTCACCACCAGAATATATACGAATAACCTACTTATTCATTTGGCTTGGCTCGGAGTAATGCTAGCCATACGACTTGCTGGTTCTATACTCACTACCATCATAATCTATCTTGAACGGAGTCTAGTTCTACTGTACTCTTCATTAGGTACCGTTGGAAAAAGATTCAAAATTTCAAGAGTTTCATCTCTTTCCTCTGTTTTTGTGTTATTGTCTTTTTTTTTTCTCTTCTCTCCTTTTGCATGTAGGTGAAAAGTTCTTGTCCTGCATTGCATGGAAAAGAGATAAATTTGAGTAGACCTATTCACGGGCCCAACTTTATATTATCTCAGGCTTGGGGGCAGAGCCCATTAGAATTTTGACAAAAACCAAGTCTGAGCTTGGCGCATAAATAAGTCTAGATTTTAGTATATTAAAAAACACTGTATACCACTACATGCATGTGAGAGGGGGTTGGGGGTGCTTTTCACACATGCACATGCCAAGCTGGGTCGGGGAACCGATGTGGGTGCGGGTAATGGTGCTTCCTGTTTATTGTTTTTACAATAGGTACACATTGTACTACATTCCTTATCAAAGAGTGGCACAATAAAATATGCCATGCATCCACTTAACAGATTGATAGTCAGTCTGGATCGGATTGGTTGGAGATAAAATCATGGGAAAAATCTCGATTAGTACCATGTATTTTGGTCCTGTTGCCACTTTGGTCCCTGAACTTTAAAATGCGATAATTCAGTACCTGAACTTTCAAAAATGCCAATCCAGTACCTACCGTTAACCAATTCTTAAAATCATAGACGGCATATTGCTTATTGGTGATAGAAAGAGGGTTAATTTTTTATCTGATATATACATGAGCTAAAAAATCTCGGCTTCGTGTGGAAGTAAATGATAGATTAATTTGAAAATAAGGAGTTTAAGGTCTGTAATTTCATTGACAATGAGAAGAAAATTTGGAGAGAAAGTGTTATTCCGTCGATGGTTCCATCACTTTCTTGGTGGAAAATTCAGTCTATTATTATTCCCTGTAGACCGGTGGAGCATATACAGGATTGTGTGGAGACCCACATCAAAAGGAAAGTTTATTGTGAAAGCTGCATATAAAGAGATATATTTGGGAAATTTGGAGAATCCTACTCCCAACCATTTGCTGAATTATGTGTGGAAGATTTGGTGTCTCCGGAAGCTTAAAATGTTTATGTTCTTTCTTCATACCAATAAGCCCCTCTCAAAAAAGAAATTAATCCTATTCCCTGTCTCATGAAAATCCCTGCTTGTAAAAAATAAAATGATTGACATCATAAAAATCATGGGAATCCCCATAAGAACCGGGATGGGGATAACCTTGTGTCTGCCAGTGGGAATGTGGAGTCGAAGGATTTTTGTGGGAACAGGGATGGAAATGGGGATGTCTCCCTATCCCCGCCTGCCCCGTTGCCATTTCCACGTTTGGATAAGCTTTTGCTTTTGAACTTTGGAATGTGATAAAAAGCCCCAAAAGGCAAATCCTGAAGATTATGAACAGCAACCTTAATTTCAAATATAGTTTTGAGCAGTTATACACTTAAACAACATTCATTATATATCAATACGAGCAATTTTTTCTTAAAAGAAGAAGAAGATTTTGTTATTGTATCTGGTCACAGCCAAATTTGATATAGGTTTCTTTGGATTTGAACTAGTACAGGACATCTGATTGATCAGAGAGAGAGAGAGAGCGAGAGATCCGTGTTTTGAGTTGACTAAAAACAGAAGCTACGGAATGCTTGAAAGCTAGCTTTCATTGTTTACCACAATTTATGTTGCCAAGTTTTTCGTAAGAACCAATGGTTATATATATTCTAATCAACCCAGAACATATTCGTTCGCTTGAAATGCTTTTATCCTAGTAACTTCCAGCTCAGAAGCCAACGGCATTCTTATTGACTCCAAGCAACCATCGCATCTTTACATATATATAAGACAGCCTTGAAGCAAACGAACTCCATGTTTTAAGCCACCAATATAATTAAAAAAAGCAATTTTGGAACCCAGCCATCTCGTCAACTTATTACGGTCATCTTGTGTTGATGAAATCCACTGCAATTTCATTTACAGTACTAGAACAAATGCATGAGAGTGCAATACTAGTGAAGAAAGCAAATTTTGGTCCAACGTAATTAACTTTAGCTTTCACTTTGCTTGATGCATCCAAGCCGCATGCAAACAAGGCAAATGCAATTGCATTAGTGCAAACAAATAATTAGGCCTAGATCTAAACATGCAATGTGTTCCACCGATCACATGATTGTGCAAGCGTGAACATTGTCATCACTGAACAAGGTAGCTGTATGATCATCGATGATTGTGGAGTATGGAAGCTCAGGGTAGTAGCCATGCATGCTTTCATTGTGACCATGCTGATAATAGTTATATGTGGTTTGGAATGTTGACTCGTCCAAATATTGCGATGCAAATGGATAGTACTCTGCATCATATGGATATGGCCAAAACTCTGCCTTTCTTCCGGTGCGTCTAACTGCCTTAAGAACATCTCTCTGGTCTACGTATCCTGTCACCGTCACCTTCTGCTTATCCATGTCTATATCCAAGCTATCAATCCCTACAACCATGCCAATTTAGCTTCAGTATCCATCAAATGTATGAGAAAATGACTCACAGAGATGTGGGTTGATGAGATTTACAGATGGTAGCTTGTTATATATAGCTTATTTATAGAGGGCATGCATATCCTTAAGCTAGCACCTCAAATTATAAAGCATTTTTAATTTTTTACGCACCACATATCTCATATGCATTAAGTACATGTCCATCATATATATCATCAACAAAGGAAAAAAAATCTTGCCATCCAATTTAGAAATCGCTCTTCTTATCCTCTTTTCGCATCCTTCGCAATCCATATGAACAAGAAGCTCCACAATCTGTGTTGAACAGATAGCAAAAGAGTAAAGAAGAAGAAATTAATGGAATCTTGAACCGATTTAAGGATCAAAAGTGTTTTCCGGCTTACCGACATGGCATCAAACACTCGTGGTTGTTCGAAGCACCAAAACATGATTGAGGTGAGCAGCTTAATTTCGAAACACCCAGCTTTTAATTCAATCAAATATTAGCAGGAAGAAGAAGAAGAAGAAGAAGAAGAAGAAGAAGAAGAAGAAAGTTGGAGAATGATGAGAAGCAACCTTAATTTAAGTTGTTTTTCTTGTGTTGGAAGAACACTCATTTACGGGGATCCTTGTGAGTTATATAACATATATATGACAGAGTGGTTGCCAAGGTCATCATCCTGTTTTCATTCATGTGTCATTCTAAATTGTGCAGGGAGGACAAAAAAGCTTAACCTACGCCATGTAGAGTGGGGTATATGCCACCTCGTATACAGTATACACACCTCTTATACGTACGTTATAGCTGAAGCTTGTCAAATTGTTTCACACTATTATATTTATTATTTATTACATTGATGTAATAATTGGACTTTGAGGGCGAGATATTAGCTGTTTGTTTATGAGCAATGAAGAAACATATAGAAGCTAGAGTGTAAAGTAAGGCTTTACTAATGAAATTTGTCATATTAACAAGTAATGTTTTTGGATGTATGAAAAATACTAATGAATAATTTTTGGCTCAATTTCAAAATTCATTCTTCAAATAATGATTCTTAGAACAGAATTTTAACCAAACATATGTGGCCAAAGTTTAACAGTGATGAAATAAATAGAACCTAACTACTAAAACAACCAATAAAAACTTTGGAATTAGAGCATAGTAGCCCATTTAATAGTGGCCACACAGAATGACAGAGAGCTTGAACGGGTTTGGTCCAAGTACAGACAGATCTAAACCGTAACATTGGGTCTCTTGGTCTTGTCAGGTCCATTGAAAATATTCTCACCATGATTCCCAAATTATCACTTTTAATATGGTTTCCATTTAAACAATCACCTTTAATTTTTAAACAAAAAATTAAAGAAAAAAAATATATATAAGGGCTCAAATATCCATTAACCAAGGCAGATTAGACCTTATTTCTAATTGGGTACTTGGACAATAGTGAAAGAGAGTGAAAAGACTTTGTCTCCATATACATATATATGCGGAGCATTTGTTCCAGAATTTCTGGTTTTATCCACAGTGGGGACTGGGGAGAGGCGCCCACTTGCATTGTTATCCACATTTGATAAATTCTTGCCTTGCTTGTGCAAGTTGAAGGCCAAGTTTGGGAGAGAATATTATTATTATCGCAATATATTTGCAAGTACAATATTAGATTTGGCTTCTGAGACAAGCCTCTAATAAGCTACATGCAGATGTCACTCAGTCACAGCCACTTCTTACCTGTTCTCCACCATCTCTTCCAAGCCTTGTTTCCTGAACTTAGGCGTCACAACTTAAGGTTTGTTCTTGTTGCGATTAGAAACAAATAATACATTCGACCAATAACGAAATTAAACCTCCTTTAAAGTACTTATCTATATATCTTCAAATTTTATGTATACTAACTAGTRTATTTAAAATTTGAGGATAGATGGTCATGAGATTTTAATTATTTAAGTTTTATATGTAATATATAACTTGATCTTCCAATTCGATACATTCCAAGCAAAAAAATAAAAAAAATAAACAAAAAATTGGTTCTTAAATCCAAGGTTTTAAAAACTGGACTGGACATAAAACTGTTTTGGGGACCAGTTCTCAAGTCGAATAATCTTACCCTATGGTTTGAATAGATGGCCTGTTTTGATTTAAAAATAAATAAAAAAGGCCAAAAACTGTTTTTCGAATCAATGGTTCGACCGCCYGAGTCAATGGGTTGTTGATCAAATCAATGGCTTTTTGCCAAAAAGAAGTTTTAGGGTGAAACAGAACCAGTTCCCAGGTCAACTGATCCAACCATCCGGTCCAGTCTGATTTTCAAATCCATGCTTAAATCTCTTCTGCTATGTAAGGTCCAATAATCAATCGATTTCCACTAATAAAGATCACATTACTCTCTTTAGTCATTTACAATCTACACTTGAAGTATGGTTCCTTAAAGGACTTGTAAATTGAAATGTTCCCAATTCCTTTGAACCTTGCTTACAAGGAAAGATGAAGGAGTCATTTACTAGGAAATGACTAAAGAGAGATGCTTAATTAAAAGAATCTAACAAATGCTTAATTAAAAGAAAATGGCATATTGGTATAAGATACTAAACCCAAGACTCTAGAACATAGTGGAGTTTAATTAGAAAGAAGGAACACTACCCTTATGGATATGATCAGTATATATGATGATGAGCCATACAGAGTTGCCTTTGTCTTTCTCCGGTCATGCACTATAGCTAAGAAGTTACCAGTGACAAAGTCGGAATCCAAAACTAAAGTTTGTTGCTAGGGTATAATAAAGAGATAATGGGATACAACTTCTATAATCAGAGTATTAGAAAGATTTTGTTAGTATGGAAGTAATGTTCCTACTTCCTAGAGAATGAGATTCTCATAAAAAGAAAGACCAGTGATATAGTGCTTACTAAACAACGCACAAGTCCTCGTGTAAGAGCATAGATTTGTGAATGTCTAGATTAAAGTACAAACAATGCGAAAACTGCATCTCGGGTGATCTAAGGAGAGTTGTATTCTCAATGCAAGGTTGTTGAAAGGGATTGTGTGAACAGTGTGAACACAGTCTTGTGAGCATCAAATCTGATTTCTTTGATTATTAGAAGTGATTCTTGCAAGATTAGGTCTCCTAAGTTGGGGAAATCCTATGGTCATAAATAAGAAGGATCTTGCCTACAGATCTTGCAGATTTAGGTAATTTTGTTTATTAAGGTGGTGTTCGATAATACTTTTCAGATCTGAAATGGTAATAACTCGCCTATCTTTTAGTTTATGTTTGATTTTAAGTTTTGAACCCCTAATTCAGATCTGAAATGGTAAGAACTCGCCTACTAATCTAACGTGCTCTGACACATTTCAGATGTTGCCTTATGTTTTAAATGCCTCTAAATATTTTGAAAATGACCAATATTATCCCTTAATATACCCATTTCGAACCCTAACATCAATGTCCCTTTCAAACGGGAAACGGCTCCTCTTGTTGCTAGTTCATCCTGCGCCATTCATCCTCTTGTTCTCCCTCTGTTTCCTGCACCATTCATCCTATGTTGTTGTTATTCTCTATCTTCGAATAGAGAAATGAGAAGATTAAGCCATCACCAACTAGCTCCACGATGACGATGGCATTGTTATTCTTTTGTTTCCTTTGTCTCTGAGAAGATGAAGCCATCCTTGGACGATCACATCTCCACGGTGGTGATGGCACTGACGATGGACGTGAATGATGCCAACCCGCTCAATATGTTGGCCAATGGTTAGAGTATTGTCAACACGAACATCAATTGAGTAGAAGAACTCTAATATTTGCCCTAGAAGATTTTATACGTTCATCGAACTGGTGAAGCAATTTTCTAAACAGCTAATGTTCATTCTCGAGTTTTGAATGTATTGTGTTCCTAACTCGGTCTGGTCCCCCAAACTCTGCACCCGATCGTTTCATCAACGAAAAAGTGACAGATTTTTAAAAAATATGGCCCATGCAGGTCTCGAACCTGCGACCTTCGCGTTATTAGCACGACGCTCTAACCAGCTGAGCTAATAGGCCAGTTGATACTTTCCTAGGTTTAAAATTCTTTTGTAGTTATTATTATTATTATTAAACAATAATTACACAGCGACGAGAAAATCTCACACGTTAAATCTCATTATTCAACTCCGTTTATACATACAGAAAAAACTAAGCAGACCTATGAAGGTGTACAGAAAATAGAAGACTGCACCAAAGATTCAAGAAGCCAACCATGATTTTTTTTTTCCTTTGGATATGCTGATTGCAATGTAACAATGCCTTCAATTATTGCTACCAACCCAATGGACGATAAACCTGGCCCACGTAATATTACTGGCTAAATAACCGCTCGATGACGCCTAATGCGCATTCACCAGGGAACACAGATATAGTTTAAACTTTAAAGAGCAGCAGCAGGCAGCAGAACTCATCAGTCGAGAGGTAGAGTGGCCTGAGACGTCGTATGAGACGGCAAGCTCAATGGTTTTCCACGGCCCATGGTGAAACCTCGGGTCCCATCAGGCATTCTTGGCCCCCTGGGAGTTTGTTTGATCGTTGTTGCTTCAGACAGGACGGAGCTAGTTGATTGTGGGGAAGGTGCAAGCAGACCACGCCCGTTGTGACTTTGACAGCGCCCACGGGACTTCCCACGGCCCCTTGCCCACCCTTTCTTTGATCCACTGGAGCTATCTTCAGCCTATCAAACAAAGTATATATCATACTAGTGTATAAGTACTGCCGCCTGTCGCTTTATTAACTAATACGTCCACTTACATTGCTTTCCATGGGATGTTCTATGCTATTAGGCTGAGAGGAGTCTTCAAGTGATTCAGACGGTGGTGCTTCATCCTCTTCTGAGTTCCTATCAGAATGGTCGTAGTCCGGCTTCCTACTTTTTATAATAGATCTTGGCTGGGCATTTCAAGATTGGAAAAAAATAAAATAAAATCTGAGAAGTTTACAATCAATAAATATTAAATAAAGTGCAACTTTTGTTTATTACTCTGACACTGTATTTGCATCATTCTGTATGTCTTTACACTGTACATTTTGTATTTGTACTCTTTCTAAACTGAGCCTAAATCTAAACCAATTTATTTGTCATCAAAAAGGGTGCATCTAGAGTCTTATATGATAGGTGAATATCATTTCGGTTGAAAGAATAATTATAAAGACAGCTATTTTATAATTTGTATAGAACAGAGTGTTGGGTAATTAAGAAACAATAATGTACAAATAATGAGTGTGGCATATGCGTTGTAAAACTAGAAAGGATAAGGTCAGAAATAATTTATTCAAAGGAACCTAGGAATAGGTCTAATAGATGATAAAATGAGAGAAAGTTGACTGAGATTATTTGGCCATGTGCACAGAAGACCATCTGCAACAGTATCAATGAAGTGAATGTAGGAGTAGACGACTTAGGGGCAGACCAAATAGGACTTGGGTAGAAGTAGTAAGAATCGATTTCCACGTCCATAATTTGAAGGCGGATATGGTAATGAATATAATAGAATGGCGAAACCGTATTCATGTAGTAAGAAATGCTGACTGCATATGGGTGGGACAAGGCTTAGATGATGATCATCTACCATCAAACAATTTCACCATTTATTGAAAAAAAAAAAAAAAATCTGCCATCAAATGAAATATTGATGAATACAAGCAAGCAAGATCGTTTAGGAAATTAAGTAGGCATACCGTGCGTCTATGTAGCAGTCTTACACGAAGGCCTTTTCTCCAGTTCCTCTCATCGTTCAACTTTTCAACCTGATGAAGATGAGAAGCCCTCAAATCTGTTATAACATGAAGAAACAAGCACAACAGGTCACTTTCTATGCTGTGTGAGAAAACTTACTGCTTTCTCAGCCTGGTCGACAGTCTCATACTCCACAAGTGCATGCAGCTTTCAAGAGAGAAAAAAGACGGTGAACAAGATAATTGACCAGTCAAAAAAAAAAAAAAAACCTTTGTTCAGTAGTCGCATGCCTAAATTCAGATGCAAATTGGATCTTGTGGTGTTAAGGTACATACTTTGTTACTGATTAACACATCGCCTTTAGAACGAGAAGTATTTGATTCTTGGGGATGGCATACTCGAATTGTCTTCACACTGTTAATCACATAGGTTGGCTTGTTAATATGCATTGAGGATTCCTTGGTAAGTACGTAGAATGCTAAAAGGAATTCTGTGATCGGGTGATATCCAACCTTCCAACCACACCAAATATCTTTTCAAGGTTTTGATGAGAGTAATCTTCAGGTAAATTCTCAACAGCGACTGTTCGACACTGCAATTTTAGAAGAAAAATGCTCTGGGTCACACAAAGAATTGGTGCATGGGTATGAAATGCAGGAGCTGTCTTCCATTAAATAACCTGCAATTCCTCTTTTTCTCTCTCTGTGAAAAGGTGCTTCCGTCTAATCCTCTTTCCATCATCGCTCACAACCTTCAAAACATGAGAAATAGGGAGAAGAAAAAAACAGAAAAGGAAACAAAAGTCATAGAGATACTAGAATACACCAACACCTATTACTTTATTGGTCCAAATAACAGAAAAATTTTGAGAAAACCTTACAAGCTTTGAAGAGCCTCGGAGTGCTTGGACGAGCAAATGATTGTTACTAACAAGAGACTTTATTTTCTTTGAAGATGCAATAATGGATATTGGAACTGTTACAATACAATTTATTAAAGAAAAGTTGTTTAGTTTAAAACCCCATAAAACCATTCCTAATGATTTTTCTAAAACAGATCAGACCTTTTTTCTCATTAAATGATTAACTCCTTACCATAGCCTTCAGGATCTTTATTTATATGTTTCGCCAGCATATCACTTGCAATCAAACTCATGTCGCTGAATTGGTACTCTACCTGTTACACTTGCAAACCATCTTTTAGCAGATACATGAAGTGCATCCAAAGTTCAAATGTGGAAGGAACAAGAAGATGAAGACATAATAGAAAAAGCTCTGTTACCAACATGGAAACCCAAAGCTAAGGAACTAGAACATATGATTGGTTGAAATCATGATACCAAAATAGAAAACTGAAACCTAAAAGCCCATCATTTTTTCTCTCTAACAACCTAAAAAAAATCCATCATGAAATGGTATACTTGCATGAAATAATCTAACTCAGATACACACTTCTGTTGTTGCAAAGAGTGGAGATAATGAAGCAAGGTAACCACAATTTGGAATCTCAATATCAAGAGGTTCATGACAAGATTAAAAACTCTGGTCCTTCTTCATGTATTCGAGAAGAAACTGCAAAGTTGAAGCCTTGATCTTAATAACATAATGGTTGTGTTTGGTTGCACATAATATGAAGATAATATGAAATGATTCTCTTGGAAAATGATATATGATAAAAAAATAAAAAAGAAATCGGTCATATTCCTAATTTTCAACAAGCCTGAATATGAGTTGAGAGGACCAATCTCCTATTTGTAAAATGACTTAAGGAAAATTAAAAGGAATCTTATTTTCCCATAATTCGTTTTCCACAGCCATTTTATGTGCAACCGAAAACCATGAAACAACAATTTTCAAGATGCTATTCATTTTCCTTAATTTTACATGCACCCACATAGTATCAAACCGAAAAATAAAAAAGGTTGGTGTTTTAGATGCCTATTAGATCAGACGTCATGGAACAAGAAAATTTTAATTTTTAGTTTATGCATGAATACTATGATATTAGACTTCTTTTCAATTTTGACAAGATTAAGATCACAGCCACATGCAAGAAAGCTTCCCATAAATAAAGGAAACATTTCAAGAGATGGATGGAATTGTTTCATTTTATGAGATTAGTTAAAAATAGAAAAAAGAAAAAGAAAATGAAAAATAAATGATATAAAAAATAGAGTAGTCATTTTAGGATTTCATTCAACTAAGCCATTTCTAATTTCTATTAATGTACAGTAATGGTTCCTTCATATGAAGAACTTACGTGCTCAAATACAAATCCAGATTAAAATGAAATTATATCAAACCATGTCGCCTCTAAATGCACTCTAAAACAATAAACCTCTGAAAACGTTTTAAAAGATCTTGCAGAAGATTAAGAAGCACCCATCTACGCCACACAATTTGATCACCGAGTAAAATAAAAATAATAATAATTTCCCTAACAATGGTTTCGGGGAATCTCCAATCAAGTTCAGGCCTGTGATCCATTTGCTTTCCTTTCCATGTCCTTTCTTATTGGTAGTAATTCGTCCCATGTAAACAAGAAAGGATAATCTAATCAAACCCAATTCAAAAATCTTAAATTATTGGCAAAACAAAAATATCTGCAAGTTATGTAACGAAATCGAAATAAGAAACTAAAAGCCAAATCAAATAATCACACAGATAACGATATATATCAATCTAAGAACGACGATCATAACCAGAAAGACTAGAGAACGGACCTGTTTAATGATCTTCTGCCGGAGATCATCACTGAGGAAATTCTTCGAAGAGTTGGGCACCGTGACATTCGAATTGGCAACATATTGGACCGGTTCTTGCTCTGCAATGTAAAACCAATCGGAGCCGCTGCTCCCACCGAGAAAGGGAAAGAAGGGGTAGAAATAACCGGTAATGGGCATCTGGGTCTGTGATCTTGGGACGAATTCAGGTGCCTGGGCATTGAATTTGAAAGAAACAGGCGTATCATTCACCTTTTCTTCTGTGGACTCTTCGGGCTCTCTCCGTTGCTGTGCATGTGCCATTATGTTTCTCTGGCTGGCCTCTCTTCCTTGCTAGCTTCCTTGGAATATTTGCTTATAATTTCTGCTTCTTACAATTTCTCTCCTTGTCTCTCTGTGAGTGGGTGGTGGGAGTGTCGTTCGTTTGTCTTCTCCTGGCGTTGTTGTAACTACCTTCGATATTGAATCCACATTCCCCGCCCAAATGCGGGCATCCTTGTTCCATCTAAAGGAAGAACCTATCGACTCATTTTCATTACACACGACCGAAGCTGGTGGGTTGGGTTTGACCGGATTTGTAAGGTTGGGTTTTGCTCGGGACATTTTAGTCATTTTAAAAAAAACTTCAATCCATTTTTTTATTACCCAAAAATACGATTTCCTTCTTTCTCATCTGGTCCAGCTTTTTTCGGGCGAAGTTAGAGAATGGTGATCATTCGTCAGATAATAATAGGTGTAACGTGTACGGGTCCCTCCGAACCCGAAATTGGAACTTCAGCATTTCAACCCAGAGCATCCACCATGAATAGCCACCTAAAACTAATAGAAGTCATCCCAAAAATCAATAATAGAGATGGAGAAACATGGCTTTGCTACATGATTAAGAACTCGAATTAAGTTTCAGAAAACCTACCTTGCTCAACCGTCCTTACAGCCACCATGTACTGTACTGAGAATATTTCCGTTCTTTGTATATTTTTATTTAGGGATAAGTAGGCTGTATTCCTCCTCACAAATCTGAAATTATAGGTACCTCTTAGTCTTGACATCAAATCCCCGGTTAGAATTCATTCCACCTCTAGGGTGGAGCTAAGATTTATAGGGGTGAACTAAACGGGTTTTGTTTATAGGGATCTAAATATTCCTAATGCACATATGCTAGTGGCTGTGATTATGGTGAACACCATTTCGTGAGGACTGAATCCCCCATCTCCTACATAAAACTACTAGGAAATAGTAATGGTGCTAAAAATTATCAGATGGCAAACACTCTCCATGGGAGTCCCAATTGTCTCCCACAAAACATATCTCACTGTGTATTGGAAACATCTCTCGTATTTGTCATGGGAAAATGTATTGTGGATGCACATTCTATGGGGAACCAATGTGATAGGAAACCAGATTTGCTCCTCACACCAACCTTGCATAGCACTTTCAGCCATGCATTCATGTGAACATCGTCCATGATCATACTTGTATGTTGTCATTCATAGGGTGATGTTATCATTGTACGGCTGCAATGTGCTGTGAGGTTGGTATGAGGAGTAAATCCAGTTTCTTCCATGGGTGGGTAAGGATTTCAATGGCAAGACGGTATAAAATATAAATTCCAATTTGATTTGGTTGAAATTTTAATAGATTTATATAAAATTGTCATAAATTTATAAAACTAATAAAATTTTCATATTTGCATATTTGATTTAGTGGTTAAATACATATTTGAACCACGCTTAAATGAATCAGATTTGAATTCAAGGGTGTAACTACAAATTGATATGGCGGCTTGGTAAGTTCTTTGGCTAATTGCAGTAGAGATATAAGATAAAAATAAATAAAAATAAAAACTAAGGTTGCAACTGAGATCGAATTAACTTGAATTGAGTTGAGAAAGGTTGAAATTCAAATTAGGGTTTAGGTTGAAAAAAAATATGAATCTAACTTGACTTCTAAATTGGGTTAGGGTTGAGGCCCGGGCAATTGACCCATCCCAAATTTGACATAATATTTATATTTGTATTTATGAAACTATATGCATCTATTAGTATATCCATAAACAATTTTAAATTTAGGCTCAGTTTATAAAGATTATAAATACAAATATCTATCGTATATAAATAGAAAATAATACAAAATATAAGATTTTACACTCTATAAATTTGTATTTGTACTCTTTTCAAATTGAGGCTAATATATTTTAATTATTTTATGTGTATTTATATACATATTTGTACTTTGTACTTTGTAAGCTCTAAATACGGGGAAAGCATATTGGAGGATAATGAAAGAGACTATATATGGATCAAGATAATCAAGGTATTTTCCATAACAAATGATCGCCAAATTGAGTAGAATGTGGGGATCCAGCCCCTCTGATTGTATCAATTAGGGGCGTTCGGTTTTTGGATTTTGAGAGGGGAGAAAGTTGGTTAATGGAATTGTGAATCCTAATGGCAAAAAAACTCATATTCTTTTTCGTCTAATTTATGTAGAAACTAAGGAAAGTTTATTTTCTTAAGCATCACTTACCCAGATAAGTGATACCTATCTCACAGGTGAAAATTTTGTTTTATTTACCCATCTTAGAAAAGTTGTTAATACTTAAATGTGACAAAAGTACCCCTTTTAATAATAGAATTTTTATGATTAAAATAATTATTATATTATTTACTTAAAAAATAAAAAAACATAGATAAATGCACTTCTTTGAGAAAAACATTTACCCGGTGCAATACTTACCCTCATAAATAACTTAACGGGGACTTGGTGTTAAAGCTTATAATTTATTTAGGATTAGCGGGTGCAAATCGGCTCGGGTTGGGTTGAGAATAGTTATAAACTTTGAAATGACCCGAGCCCACTGTTGTTCAAATTCTTCGAATGGAATTTTTATATAATTTTCTGTTATTGCTGCTACCTGGAAACATCAAAATAGTTGAATCTGGTTATTTGAAACTTAAGAACCACACCCGACCCGAAAACCGGTTGCAAGAAAGAAGCTTAGTCAAAGGTCATGGCTCTGTAGGGATGGATCCAAATGAAGTTATGAAGAAGAGAAATCAGCCCTTAGATGCATTTCTGTGGCCCCCACATTTTACGTCGAAAAAAAAAAGAAAAACTTCATCCAATTAAAGGTTGAGAATTCCCTTCTCCATCAGGCTACTACAACGACAGTACGACGTACGCGCTGTGAGATTTATATTTATTTCTGTTGGAAAATCGGAAGGGCTCTTCTTTCATATTCCTTATTCGTCTTCACCAATTAATTCAAAGTTCAGTTGAGCCTTCTATCCTAATCCTAACTTCCAAAATGCAGATGGAATTCAGGCTACCGATGAGTATGCAGACCGATTCGTGTCTGCAACTCGCCAAGTACGCCGGGTTAAAGGAGGCCAATAGCAACTCCAATTTTGTCTTCTCTCCCTTTTCCATCTACCTCGGTTTGAGCCTTGTGGGTTGCGGATCCAGTGGTCGAACATTGTCACAGATGTTATCATTCCTCAAGTCCCAGAACATCGATCATCTCCAACAGGTTGGCCGCCAACTCGTCGATTCCGTCAAAGGACCTCTCGTCAATGGAGGCCCCAGCCTCTATTTCGTCAACGGCGTTTGGATTGAAAAATCTGTTAATCTAAAACCTACATTCAAAGATATTGTTAATATAGTATATAAAGCAGAAGCCGAGACCGTCGATTTCTTGAATAAGGTGAGCTTGACTCTCTCTCTCTCTCTCTCTCTCTCTCTCTCTCTCTCTCCGATGCAGAACCCATTTCAGCTTGAAGAATCATACTGATCACTTTGCCTTCCACCACAACGTGAAGCCCCTGGAGGTGACAGTGGATGTGAATACACGGGTAGAAAAGGAAACAAATGGGCTAATCAAGAATGTCCTCCCTCACGACTCCATTGGTAGAGATACAAGACTTTTACTAGCAAATGCACTCTATTTCAAAGGAGAATGGAAAGAGCGCTTTGATAAATCGAAAACTAAGGTGTCTGAATTCTATCTGCTTGATGGAAGCAAGGTCCAGGTTCCCTTCATGACTAGCGAGTCTGATCAATTTGCTTGCTCCTGCGATGGCTTCAAAGTACTCAGACTTCCTTACAAGCAAGGAGACGATTACCGCACATGCTTTTCTATGTACATCTTCCTTCCCGATCAGAGAGATGGACTTCGTGATTTGATCGAGAAGGTGGCTTCCGATCCAGGATTTATGGATCGCCATCTCCCTGTTAAACAAATCCAAGTAAGAGATTTCTGGATCCCCAAGTTCAAGATCTCATTTGGCTTTGAAGCTTCAAGGATCCTTAAGGGATTAGAATTACCGTTGCCTTTTGATGAGAACGAAGCAGAGCTAACTGACATGCTAATAAGCCCGTCGTCGGATGGTCGTAACCTTTACGTTTCAGGATCTTACCATAAATGTTTCATCGAAATTGATGAAGCAGGAGCCGAGGCTACTGCTGCTAGTACTGCTACTGTAGTTCAGCCATTTTACCTTCCCACCCCCATAGATTTCGTAGCAGATCATTCATTCATGTTTATGGTGAGAGATGATCTGAGTGGAGTGATGCTGTTCATGGGGCATCTCATTAATCCCTCTGCAGTCGGTAATTAATATTTTCTTATTATCTCCACTGTTGCATTTATGATTAAGAGAGACAAATTCTTAACAGCGGGTGGGAAAAGCAAGAGTTGAAAAATCTTTAATTAGAAATGTATTAAAAGAATCTTCTTCTTGAAAATTCCAATTTCTGTACTTGAGAGTTCAGAATTTGGGTCTATATGAATCCCGATTTCCTCCTCACACCCACCTCGCCAGTCGCGCGCCTCACAGCAATTGCAGCTGTGCATTGAAAACATCTCCCCATTAATCAAAACATACAAGTATGGAGATGTTTCTCATGTCTTCAACTTTTGATGGTGATCAGGCGTAGGGGTGTAAGCGAGAGGAGACTACTCAATGGCCATCTCGAGCCTGGCTCGCTTAATGCTCGAACTCAATTTGTTAACAATCGAATTCAGCTTCGTAGGTGGTGTTTTTTGTACCATGCTTTGTCGATTTCTCAAAATTTGTTGATTTTCTGGAATTTGGCAATATTGTTTGTTTGTTTGGTTCCAAGCCAATTTCTGAAAAAAATTGAAAATATTTTTTGTTTGGATGTGTTTATCAACAGTGATTTCTTTTGTATTCATTCTCCATCCACATTAGGTGTCATGTCATCCATCATCCATGAAAAAAGTAAAGGGGAATCATTATATTGAAAGTGTGGCAATTCCTCATACTAGCCCGATTTCTGTAATCGATTTTGGACTGATTTGTCAAAATTTGTTGAAAACAGCCCACCAAACAACAGATTCATCACTGGTTCCTGAATCACTGATGTGACTCCGGCGTGGCAGTGATTTCTGAGAAATCGACAATGGTGCCAAACATCACCATAATATCCAATTGGAGTGGGCTGTAAGCCTACTCAAGCTAATCTAGTCTAATTAGTACTCTATTATGTTGAGTATCTGTATCGCCTCAAGGTCAAGTTTAGAGCTCCAAAGTTTTGAGACAAGTCGAGCTCATATAACCCAATACTCAACTCAGCTTGATTACACCCTATTATCATTAGACACGGTCTTCATCCAATGTAGTAATGTCACTTAAGGTCTTAGACTTTCGAAGTTCATTGACAGTCTTATGCCTCAAGGCTAGGGACAAGCAAGCACAACTGAAACACCTAGCCTCAACTGCTTTCTATAAAGGCTACACTTTTATACCATGGAAATTGGAATTATGTTCATCCGGTTTTTCATCTTCAGCTCTCCGGTGAGAAGCAAAGAGAGATTGGGAGGAAGATTTTACTATTTACCTTGATAGACAAGAGAGGGAAATTTTACATTGAAAAAAAAAAATTAAATATATAAAGTTTTAGATTGATAGAGTTGGGACCTTCTCCATCGATAATCTGTCTAATGGTTCGTGCTGGATTCGAAAGACTGGGAGAGTTGGGACCTTCTCCATTTATAGAGGGAGATTAGAGTCGGTCAGTCCACCTATAATAACTTCATAGGTCAAGAACCAAATTGAATGATGACTTGAAATTGCCCAAGAAAAGCATCTGGAAATTAATGATCCAGATGGATATAATTAATAACCATGAATTGGGTTAATTTTTTTGGTCTATAGGCAGGGAACCATGCTGTACGCAGTAGAGCATTTGGCAGTCAGGAAAAGACATGTAGAGAAAATCAGTGTTACAAAAAATGGGAATGTTGAGATGGTTCAGTAGGGAAGTTATGAAGGACAAGACCAAAGTATTTAGCATCTTTCCTCTTGTTCTCTCTAGTTGTGATTCTCTCACATTATAAGGGAGGATTTGAATTTTGAAGTAGATTGTCTTGTTTTTGTTCTAATACAGAACAAAGTAATCATTCATGTAGTAGTGATGGTTCATGCTCTTCACATTTTTATCTTTGAGAGATGAGAGTTGGGTTTTCATCCCACCTTATCAGACCTCCATCAATGTTGGTGATTCCATTCTCTCAGTGAACTTGTCCACAGGGTTTTCTTTTTATATAGATTCAAATGTCTTAATTTCGAAATTTTGAATAATGAAGGGTAAAATAGTCTTTTGAATCTTTCTATCAACAGATGCTAACTATTGTCAATTGTCAAAAAACCTTAGGGGTATTTTAAGTAATTTTTTAAACAATAGGGCAAGTGTTAATTCATTTGCTAATACTTAGAGGTAGTTTAAGTATTTTGCCTTTTAGGAACCTATAGTAACCATAATAAGCAATGTTCAAAATTTTGACATGATACACTCGATACGAGGCATATTATATCATATCTTTGAAAAATCGATATGGAGAATGGTAAGAAATGGGGTGTTATTGCCCCATATAGATAGCATATCAGTGAGTATCAGAAGCATATCAGTGGTGTATTAACTGATACACTACCATACTGGTGTCATATATTCATATTGATGGATACATTGCAAATTCATAAGGCTGGTTTGGAAGGAGTACAAATACAAATATGTGTAGTGCAAATACATACAAAATACAAGGTTTGGCACTTTACATATTTGTATTTATACTCTTTTCAAACTGAGCCTAAAGGGCAGAAATGAGAAAAAAAAAAAAACATAAGAGAAAAGTCTGAGAGAGTATGAGCGGGAATGGGAAATGTTTTTGTTTTTAGGTGAAATTTGGAGCTAGCGGTCGTTTTGTTAGCTCCACACGGGCTGAGGGGAGAATACAGGTGGGAAGACATGCGGTGGAATTTCATTGTTTGGGACATTTTTGGGGTGCCAAGCCGTGGGGAACATATTCGAACTTAATTTGGAAATGGGGTTTGTTGACATAGAGGCTTTGACTCCCAAAAGAAGCCTTCTTTAACCCCCAAAAGCCTCTAAAATAACAAACCCCATTCCCAAATTAAGCTGCATTTGGTTGCAGTGCAATTTTATTTGTACTAGTACAAATGCATAGGAGTGCAATGGAAAAAAACACAAATTCTGATTAAATTTCATTTTATTTCACTTCTTATTTTACTTCATTTGTACTACAATCAAGCAAAATAAGGTAAAATTTAAAACAAAAATCAATCAGAATTTGCACTCAAATCATTTGCACTACTATAATTTTACATCAATTCAAATTTATTTCCACCGCAACTAAATACAGCCTTAAGCTCATCAAATTTGCACCCAAACGCTTGGCGCCCCAAAAATGTCCCTCACAATGAAATTCCGCCGCATGCAGCATGTCCTCTCCCCTCAGCCCGTACGGAGCTAACGAAACGACCGTTAGCTCCAAATTTCACCCAAAAACGAAAATGTTTCCCATTCCCGGTCATAATCTCTCAGTCCACGCCAACGGCCAACCCGTCCTCTCTGTTCCCCGTTACTCTCCACTGGTCGCCATCCCTTCTTTCATATTTTGAATACTTCCGTCCATCCCTCTCTCTTCTCTTCTCTTCTACATACAGCCTTAGAGAAAGAAGCAAACAAATCGAAACAGCAGAGAAGGCTACAAAGTGAAAACAAGAGCAAATGGTAAACTAAAGACACCAGACATGTGGCAGACTCAAAGGCCCCATCTTTTCCTTCCTCTGCTTCTTCTGTTTCTCTTCTCCCTCCCACTGAAGCCCTCTACATCAACAAGAACCGAAGCCCAAGCTCTGGTCAGGTGGAAGAACAGTTTAGCTTTCTCTGATGCTCTCAATCCTTGTTCCCTCACCAATATCAAATGCTTCTGCAATCGAGACGGCATCATCTGCAACAAAGCCAGAAGCGTCACCGAGATAAAACTCCCTAGTTCCAGTCTCAACGGGACACTCGACCAACTCAGTTCCGCGTCGCCAATCTCGCCCGCTTTGATCTCAACGACAACTCTATCGATTGAGCACTTCCCTTCTGTGTTTTTGTATTGAAAAAAATAATAAATAAACTCAACAAAACAGATCGAACATGTGAGAGAAGAGATGAGATGAGAGGGATGGAGAGTACCTCCGGTGTTTCTGCCGAAATGGTCGTCGGCGCCGGATTTCTCACCAAGCTCAGATGGAGGAGGTGGTCATCGAGAGATGTTCCCAATAGAAGGTCAGCATCTTCGAACTCTCCCAAATTGTGAGATATACAAAAAAATACAAAAAGCAAACGTCAATAATCAAAGTTTGGTAAAGATTTCTCAAGACTACAAAAATATTACGAAAGTAGGTATATTTTTCTAATTTTTCTCATAATTTATTGTGATTTCTTGCGTTTTTCTATTTGAATTATTGAGAATGGTTAAGGTGCAAGAATCTTGGTCATCGGGTAAGGCACCGTAGGGATCGATCCAGATCAAGTTATGAAGTCCTACGACAGTACCACCACCACCACTACGCGCTTTCTCTTGGTAAATCGGAAGGGCCCTTCATTGTTATTCCATGTCTTCAGTGTTTAGCCTCTCTAGCTTCAGGAACTCTTACCAGTCGAGGTTCCAAATGGAGGTCAGGCTACCGATGAGTGTACAAACCGATTCATGTCTGAAATTCGCCAAGTGCTCCACCTTAGACGAGGCCATCAACTCCAATTTTGTCTTCTCTCCCTTTTCTATCTACCTCGGTTTGAGCCTTGTAGGTTGCGGATCCAGCGGTCGAACATTGGCACAGATATTATCATTCCTCAAGTCCCAGAACATCGATCATCTCCAACAGGTTGGCCGTCAACTCATCGATTCCGTCAAAGGACCTCTGACCAATGGAGGCCCCATCTCTTTTTCATCAACGGCGTTTGGGTTGAAAAATCTGTTAATCTAAAACCTGCATTCAAAGATATTGTTAATTCGGTATATAAAGCAGAAGCCGAGGCCGTTGATTTCGTGAATAAGGTGAGGTTGAACTCTCTCTTTCTCTCTCTATTTCAGTTTTCTTTTAGAAATTTTAATCCTTTCTTCTTAACCTTTGAACAAAAACTGAAGAAGAAGCATCTTCTGATCCATCATTTCAAGTTTCAGCGCATTAACTTTTTTATTATTTTCTTGTAGCCCCTTGAGGTGACGGAGAATGTGAATACATGGGTAGAAGAGGAAACAAATGGGCTAATCAAGAATCTCCTCCCTATCCACTCTATTGTTGGAGATACAAGAATTGTGCTTGCAAATGCACTCTATTTCAAAGGAGAATGGAAAAAGCACTTTGATAAATCGAAAACTGAGGTCTCTGAATTCTATCTGCTTGATGGAAGCACGACCCAAGTTCCCTTCATGACTAGCGAGTCTGATCAATTTGCTTGCTCAGACAATGGCGTCAAAGTACTCAAGACTTCCTTACAAGCAAGGAGACGATAATAGCAGATGCTTTTCCATGTATATCTTTCTTCCCGATGAGAGAGATGGACTTCATGATTTGATCGAGAAGGTGGCTTCCGATCCAGAATTTATTGATCGCTATCTCCCTGTCAGACAAATCCAAGTAAAAGACTTCCGGATCCCAAAGTTCAAGATCTCATTCGGCTTTGAAGCTTCAAAAGTCCTCAAGGAACTAGGACTAGTGCTGCCTTTTGACAAGAACGAAACAGAACTGACTGAAATGCTAACAGGTCCACTGGAAGGTGGTAATCCTTTCGTTTCAGGAGCTTACCATAAATGTTTCGTCGAAATTGATGAAGCAGGAACTGTGGCTGCTGCTGGCACAGCTATTCTAATTCAGCAACAATGCCTTTCCTTTCCCATAGATTTCGTAGCAGATCATCCATTCATGTTTGTGGTGAGAGATGATCTGAGTGGAGCGGTGCTGTTCATGGGGCATGTCATCAATCCCTCTGTTGTCGGCAATTAATAATTTCTTATATTTTTACTGTTGTAATGATGATTAAGAGTTCTTAACGGGTGACGGTGTGAGTGAAGAAAGAGTTGAAAATTAAAATTCAATTGAAATGAAATGAAAGAATCTTTTAAAATATAGAACTTGAAAATTCCAATTTCTGTACCAATAGGATTTTGGTTGCATTGATCAAGCTAACATCTGCGCCCCACAACGTTGCACAGCACATTCCCGCTGATGATGTCATCATCGAGAGATGTTCCCAATGGTGGGGGTGTGCTGTTGGGTGCAGATCCAAATTTGCATTGACAAGAAATTGATGTTCTTTTTTCTAAATTTACGTGCATGTCAGAAAAATTTATTGTCTTGGGTATACACCCATTTTCCACGTGATAAATAACTTTTTCATCTTAGGAAAGTTGTCAGTAGTACATGAATAAACAAAAATACCTTTTTAATAATAGGTTTTAATTGAATAAAATAATCATTGTCTTATTTACATGACAAATGCATTTATCCAGATAAACATTTCTTAAAAAAACATTTATTTACCAAAAAATGAACAGACCTAAGTGCCAACTTTTTGATGATAAGATGGAGGTGTAAGTGATCATATGGACAAAGCAAATCAAGTTCAAGCTTAGCAATTCAGTTCAGTTGAACCGAGCAAAGAGCAAACCAAGTTCAAGCTTAGCAATTCTCAGTTCAAGCAGCTTGCGAGCTTAATTGGTCAAAACTCTTCGATGCCATGTTTTTCCTGCATCATATATCTTCCTTATATTAAAATTAATTTTTAATATATTTTTTATTTATAATATTTTAATCTTAATTTATTTATAATCCAATCAAGTCAAACCAATAATCAAGCCTATCGAATATTGACTGAAGTTGAATTTCGAGCTCCGAACTTTGAAGTCCAAATTGAGACTCAACTCTTGGTTACACCCGTAGTGAGGGGATTTTGTATTGTAACGGGTATCCCGTGTAATTATATCGGATAAAGCTTCAAGAAGCCTCAGTTGCTTTCTTTCTATAAAATGTTCGAGGCTTACGCCTCAAATTGGTGGGATGCGCGCCTCATATAATTAGTTAATGGAAAAGGAAAAAGTATATAATATTTTGCAAAGGTAATTTACATCTTGTTAATCACCAATAAAATCAAAAAATATGCTCTCACAAAACTCCTTTTTGTCTGATAGATGGCTCGCAGGGTGGACATTCCATTTATTTCATTAAAAACCGAATTGAATAAATCAAATTTTCAAAAACTAAACTTATAAAACATAAAACTGAATCAAAATGGAATTACTTGATTCTTATAACATAATTACTTGGGTTGCATTTGACACTCCTTATTTTAAGGACTTATCTCCTTTTTGTAATTATAAATTCAATGTTCATAGAAACATTTTAACAAACAGTTTATTAAACATTCAGTATATTATGACTTAGATAGAATATCCCCGATGGATGGCCCACCACCCACCTACACTAGTATAATTAACAAACATTCAGGGATTGAACTCATTGGCCGAGGCCCATGAGTGAAACAGTTAAGACTAATCATAGACGTCTGCCTAATGCATCCATTGATGATCATACAGCTGTTCTCAATGAATTTTCTCTCTCAAAGATAACATTTAGAATCTGTAAGAAACTATGGCGGTGTTTGAAACCATGAGCGTTTATTCAATACACGCTGCCACATAGGCACCACTTCAGCATTACGCCCATTATGTTGATCTGTACGCATAGAAACTTGCAAAAACAGGTCTTAATTTATGTGCACATCTACTGTTGGGGGAAGATTCATTTTAGCACTTCCTCCAACAGGTAGACATTCACTATTTTGCTGATGTGGTGCCTAATTGTCAATAAACGGTTTTATTATTATTTTTCTCGGTTTTACAAACAAATCAAGTGGGCAAGTACAAACATTTAGTGGATAAATGGAAGCTATACCAAACACATACTATAGAATTTGGACTGATTTTGCCCTTTTGATGCTGGAGAGCCGAGTTGACGGAGATGATGGACCCTGTACATAATACCGATTTCCAACTCCAGAGATTACAAGTGGACCGCATTGACATTGTTGATTGGGACTCTGCCTAATTCTGTTTTCTTTACGAGGTTTTCCAAATCTTGGGAAAACTTTTGATTCCATCCTCTGTACTACAAATTTGTTAACTTGTACAAGTTTACATAATGTAGTATCTTGATTACCTTGATAATAAAAGGAAAAAGATAAAAGAAAATATAGAGAAACAATTTCTGTACAAGACTTGTGGAAGAACAGAGATGATTTGCACCTCGCCATATGCAGAACTTCTTCTCATCAGTCAGGTCTTGCAGGGAAGGCCTTACCCAACCTGGAAGCACTGGTTTCAGAGCCAGGAACCGTAAGCAAGTTCCCACTATCAGACATGTAATAGTAGTTGTAGTTGATCCTGGTAACCAAATCCGCTAAATGAGGGAAGTGACCCACATTGAGTTTGAAGGATAGAACCTACATGCGAATGGCCAATCAAAGAAACAATTAATGTAAGAATACATGGTTAACACCATATACATATATATATATGTATATACATATTTCAGGGTCCGTGGCTCACAGGAATAAGGGTCTGGAATCAGGTCCATTCTGATTCCAACCATTTGGTTGAGCAAAATCAGAATCATATTCCCATTCCTAATGGAATGCCATTTGAGGGAATGGCTATTCCCACCCCCTCCCTTGGGAATTAGAATCCATTCCAGCCAATTCCAACTGTGAACCAAAGGGACTCTGTCTTGAAAGCTGACACAGATGATCCAACAGGTAATAAAATAAAGGGGTGAACAGAAGGCTACTCTGAGAAGAAATGCAATGCAATCATCGAATTGTTTCTCAATCCTGTCAATTTCCATCTCACATCTCGCCTTGATAGCAAGGGCTGCTCCACTGCTATTTAGTGTCTGTTGTATGGAGTAGAAGTCAAGAGCTAATCCAAGGATTATCTTGATCCTATTTGCAATCAAGGCCCACTGCAAATTCATTGCAGATTATCAGACAACCACATGCAATGCTTTCTCACAAGATTCCAGTGCAGAGCAGTTTTAATATATTTCAAATCTCAACAGTAATGAGATGGTTACACTACCAACTTATCTGGAACCACAAAGCACTGCCGCTGAATAGACAATAGATAGGCCTCATGCACTTCTCTGACTTCATCAAGAGAACCAGCAGATGCCATACCTTCGCAGAGTTCAAGCCATGCACTGTGAAAAACCTGCTTATTCTAACCTGGTCAGAGATCAAAGATTGCTGAAATTCCTTCATGAAAAAGAATTGACACAAAGATTGGATCTTACTCTATCCATGACATATTGGTGAAAAGCATCAACAAAGTGGAGGAGTTTCTGCTCAACTAACCAGTGATGCTTGCGATTGATTGTTGCAGTGCCCCTACCCTAAAATAGGTGAAATTACAAATAAAAAATGTTTCAATCTCAACAAATGTTCTCTCACATCAAAAATTGGTAGCGAAATCAACCATATCTAGGTATCTACAAGGAAATAATGGAGGGAAAAGAGGAAGAAGTCGAAGAACAACCTTCCACATCCACCTTCGAGTTTCATCAAGAACAAATTTTGCACGCTTCACTTTCAACAAGAAACCCATCACCTAAACCCAATAAATACTAACTGATCAAGAATAATGTCATGATCCCTATAACATTAATGCAAACCTAGACATAAACCTTACCTGATTGTATTTCTTAATTGCCTCTGTATTAGCAATAAGCTCTAGAGGCCAAGAGACCTGTCGCACACAAATACCAACTTATAAATCTTTAAGCAAAAATACAAGGCAAATGAATCAAAACAATGAAAAGATATCAGGGTCGGTCAAGTCAAGCAATAGAAGCTGGAAGCATACCTTGTATGTGAACTTCAGCAAATCAAGGGCATCAATGCCAAAACAGTGGTTGCGACCTTTATGAAGAGTGGAGACAGGGCTAGCTGCAATACTTTGTACATCACCACCTGGGTCATGCCCTTTTGTAATTGTCACAACCAATGAATCTGGTGCACTGAGAAGCATCCTATCAGCAGAATTTCTAATTGATTCCTGTAGTCAATAAAAGTACTGTAATTATTATCTCGAAAGCAAGTAAAAATTGATCAAATGCCCACCAGGTAGACCTCAGGTTTTTCACATACTGGCAAATGTGGTACCCAAACAGCTAGATGGGAGTTAAGAAGAAACCATCCGAACTCTGAGAGGGTCTTCAACTCTCTTCATTTCCATCTGCACAGAGCAATGGAAAAGCCTGTGGGAGAGACAGGACCACCTCCATTTATAGAGGGAGATTAGAGTTGGTCAATCCACCTAGAAAAACTTCATAGGTCAAGAACCAAATTGAATGATGACCGTAACATCAATTTTGAAATTGTCCAATGGCCATAAAAGAACATCATATCAGTCCAAGAAATGATCCTGATGAATATAATCATGAACTGGTTTAATTTTTTGGTATATAGGTAGGGAACCATGTTGTAAATCACATTTGGCAATCAAGAAAAAACATGTAGAAAAAATGAGTTAACAGAAATGCGAATGTTGGGATGGATGAGTGGGAAAATTACAAAGGATAAGATCAGAATGTATTTAGGAACCTAGTTAGTAGCCACAGTAGGTAATAAAATAAGAAAAAGTAAACTAAGATGGTTTGGTCAAATGTAGACAAGGCCATCTATAACAACAGCAAGAAGTAATCTATTATTGCGAGTTGAAGAGTCCAGATGAGCTAGGGGCAGACCAAAAGGACATAGGTTGAAGTAGTGAGAAATGACTTCAGGGCCCATTATTTAACAATGGATGACAATTACAGAGTGGAATGGCAAAGCAGGATTCATCTAGCCAATCACCCAATCCCATATAGTTGGGACAAGGCTGAATTGAGTTGAAGTAGGGAAACCATCAAACGGTGTCTCCTATCGTCCTGCACATATGCCAGGTATGTTACTGGCTGTGACCAACCTTAGCGTCTTCCTGATGGGTATACTAGGTTTCTTTGCATATCTTGTTCTGCAAGACATGACTAGCTGCACCTGTAGTATGGTGTTCAACTCAAAATCATCATCCAACAATTCTGCCTTATCTAGCTTATCAAAAACTACAGCCAGAAAATGCTGCAGCATGTCACCTGAAGTTCATTATAGTAAGATCTTATGTCAATAACAAAATTATATATTTAATTAAGCAAACAGGTAACGGACCAAAAAAATCCAAAAAATAGAGGTTCAGAAGACCAGAAAATACCTGAACCTAACAAATAAATAGCACGTAATACTCCAAGTTCATCCATTAATCGCCAACCATTCATCAGTTTCAACAAGATATGCCTCCCTATACAGTCCACCTAGGGAATATAAACCGTAAGAAATTTGATTTAGATAAACATCAAGCTGACATAAGGAAGTTTCGGGATTTATCTGGAGGGATCTACCTGTTTCTTAATGTAGATAACAAGACATTCTTGTATAATAACCAGAGGAAGTGGGGTCTCCTTTGGTTCAACACTTCCAATCCAATTGAGAACTTTTGATGTTAAGGTGCTATTTTTCTGGAATGGTAAAAGCTCCGATATACTGAGGTTTTCCTATTGCAAAGTAAAAAGGAAAAAATGACTTCATGAACTACATGCCTAGAAAATGGCATAGAAATAGAAATATTCCAAGAACCAGAAATCTACCAGTACCTGAACAGAAGGAAGAAGAGTTGAGAAAGAAAATAATGTTTCTATTGCCTTTGCATCACCCTGTGATTGAATATATTCTGACACACCAAATTGAAAACCAAAACTATAATCTGTTCCATTGGCTGCAAGGGATATTCCACTATTCACACCAAAGATAGCCTCCCTCAAGCTCTCATCATTCAGAGGAGGAAGATGTAAATTTCTAGATAAGTTCAACATATTCCAAATGGCCCTATTTTTATCAAGAGATGTTTGGCACATGGTAATGATGGGATTTTCAGGAGAAAATGATTGAACAAGTGGTGATTCCTGCACAAAATTTGTGGTTAATTTCTCCTTTTTCACTTCATGGAAGGAATTTGCATCCTTCATTGCAGACCCTAAATCTTTTTTCTGGGACAGTGTTTCCAATAGGAACTTAAACCAAGTCTTCTCTGAACAGACTGAAACCGGTGAGATTACCCCATTTTCTTTGGCCAGCTTTTGTTTGTCCATGTAAGCTTCAACCAAATGTGCCATCACAAGGTTCCATGAGTCATCCAGTCTAACATAATTAGAGATGTGATCACCATCACCTATGAGACCCACCAATGATATACAGAAAACCTCTGACAAAGTTAACCCACCTACACTCTTCCCATGATGCAGCTCACTTGCATTACTTCTACTTATAGATCTTATGCAATCATCAATATCATGATCACTGCCAACACCAGATATTGCTGTGTATTCCCTTCGAACATGCCGGATCAGCTGTAATGATTTTCCCGCAGACACAATGGCCTTTGCTATGTCCCTAATGAACAGAGGGCAGACTTCAAGGTCCATTCCTTTCTGATCTCTCCCCTTTAGAGAACTATGTGATATGGGATCTCTGTCAGCCATTCCCTTCTTGTCACCAGCCACAGACTCACCAGCATTGGAACAAGTACCCACAGATGACCCAGGATTTAATTTTTGACATACTTGCCTCAGTAGATAGCTCTTTTCCCAGAATGTTGCTTGATCAGTTGCAATTGTTTCATTGGCATAGAAGAACATCTGCAAATAATGGCACTGTAGTATCAGAAAGAATATGACGTTGAACCAAGACAGGAACAAGTATCAGAACCTATCGTGTGTACATTTATTTGATGGGATTCCTGCAGTCCACATTATATTTACAAAGCAACAGAAAATAATTATTTCTCATGAAACAAAAAGCACCATTGGAATAAACACTGAGGCACTAAATGAACTCTATCATACACCTATAGATGACAATAAAAATGCAGTGAAGTTATATTTCCCACATAGATGGTGAAAAGTACTTAAAAACATAGACTAGAAGTCCAGAAGTTAATTTATATGTTGCAAGGAAAAAAATTCAAGATTCTACACCACAATCATGAAGTCTCTGACTCTGGCACAGGTTTTCACATGGGCTGTTCATCCTTTTGAACGAGTTCGCAAAACAAAATGAGAGCATAAATCATGTAAGTCTTTCAAGAGTGGAAAACATAAAAACAATGTCAGAGAATTCTAGCATACTATGACTGTTGGAATAAGGTGTAGTAGGAAGAGGCCGGTAGAGGGTGCTGGATAGAGAAGGGCTGGAAGATGTGACATACAGGCTTGAAAAGATATATTTGTGTATATGTTTATGCATGTATTCATGTTTAAACATAAATGAATATATCCATGTTTATGCACAAAAAAAATGTCATGTGTATGTATAAATGGTGCTTCTAATAGGATGTATATGTATTATGTATGTAAGGAAGAGGAGAGTAAGAAATGTGAGGATGAGAGAGAAGGAAGGACAAACTGACCTCACTTATAAGGTTTTGTGAAGGAATAATTAACTTTCACAATAATGAAAGTTTTAGGAGTGCATTAACTAAAGAAGTTATATTAGAAAAAAATCGTGGGTGAACATGTTCCCCATTGAGTAAAAGATAAAAAACAGTTCACAAAATTACCTACACACAACTTTTCAGTTGATTAGATGCATGATCTAACCCACTGGGTTAAATATAAATTACAAATTTAGATCTATGTTCCTAACTTTTTGAGAGCACAATCCTGAGGCAATTCCACTACAAAGTAGTAGAATTTACACTATGTTAAGAAGGTATCCTTCTTGCGCATTTCTAGTTTCCTACTATATATAGGTATTGGAAAAACTGCTTACCCCATACTTATGGCCATCAAAGAAGCCTTTTTCAGTAACAAATAAGCCACATTACTCAACAGAATATGTTCATAATATTGATAAAAATAGCATATGCTCATAACCATCAATGATTTAATATTTGCAATATAAAATTTGTATACATGTATGTGTACTTTACAAATTAGGCATTGCATCTAATATAGACTTTCCACCAAACTTTTTGTCTCCCAAGTAGAACCATCCTCCAGCTACTTTCAGTGGAAAGTGGACTGCAATTTTATTTTTCAAGCAAATTACCCTAGTCTAACTCCAACATCTCTTGGCTTATATGGCAGTGCACAACAGCATGCCCCAGTCCCTGTTGCATGTGTCATATGTATGGTAAAAAAGAAGTGTTGCAACTTGAGCTAGACTCAACCAAACCATATTATTCTGGAATCTTCTGGCCTGTAACTGGGCTTCAGTTAGGAAATCGCAACACAATTTAGGAGCCATTTGATAACAGCTGAACTAGCTAAACTGAAAGACTTATTGCTTTGTCTTTAATTGTTAAAATAATTAAATAGTAAAATTTTTATGTAGTGGTCTACCCAACTTCAGTTTCAGCCATTAAGGAGCTCACAGCCTCCTTAAAATCTTATTTACTAAAAGACAAAGCAATAAGATTTTCACTTCAGCATCTTTAACTGTTATCAAACAGCCCCTTAATGTTGAGTTGCGGTTGGCTTCCGGACCCACAAAAATTCATTTTATATACACAAATAAAGGGAGTATGCAAGACATAAATAACAAAGTTTTAGGTGTGACTGAATAAACTTGAGTTAAACATCAAAAAGTGAAAATACCAATTTCAATTGCTTCTGGCTCGCATGGCATTGCAAGCTAAGCCTAATGAATATAAACCAAAATAAGTTAGGCAAAGTAAAACTAATAAAGATCAGGTGAACAGATTTGGTTTCTCCAGGCCGTTTGCTTAGTTCTTAGGGTTGGGCTCACATGGTATTGCAAGCTAAGCCTAACGAATATAGACCAAAATAAGTTAGGCAAGGTAAAACTAAAAAAGATCAGGTGAGCAGATTTGGTTTCTCCAGGCCATTTGCATAGTTTTTAGGGTTGGGCCTGTGTTGACCACTAACCTGAACCAATGTGCTCAAGTTCCATCTAAGAGGACAAGGAGGATAATATTTTACTTGGTTCCTTATCCTTACATGAATATTAACTTAACAATGTCCACTTTTTTATCAATCTTATCAAGATATCATATGAAAAAACCAAGTATATTACCTCTTCAAATGGATCATCAAGAACTCCATCATAAAGCCAGGAATCAAGCCTTTCAATATATGGAAGTAAACTCCCTACAAATACATATAGTAGCATCTGATATGCTTCTTCCTGCCATTAGCAAAAACTGTTAATTAGAACCACAAAAACTAAGACAATAAAAAGACAAAAGACTAGAGCATAAAGCATGTCCAGGAATGCTTCTACAACCTCTCCACCTTGCACGAGACAAACTTCATTTAACTTCTTATAAAGATGATCAAGGATATGAACAGACACCTCAGCAGCTGGAACAGAAGAATTGGGTTCAAAATAAGCACCTGGAATTGCTCCATGAACTACTTGTAGTAGAAATTCAGCTCGTGAGCAAAGACTGATAAATCAACGAGAGACCGTCAGCATAAATCTATCATAACAAGATGAAAATAAATAACAAAACAAGCAACAGGGTGATGGGTGCAAAGAAGCACTTRTAGAACCAGAAGCAATACAAAGGATCAGAGTATCTGCAAAACAGATTTAGGTCTGAAGGTCACCATGTGGAAAAAATGCCAAGGCAGTGTTATCAAAGCATCAATTGACTAATCAACCAACTAGTCAGTTGATAATCGATG